GAACATATAATTTTAACACGAGTTCAATCATCGACAGTAAAAAAAAAAATGGTAATCCTGACAGCGGGGTGGAAGCTGCCCGGTCAGTTGTATATTTCCAGTAAGTGAATTTACAGTCATTTTAAGGCTGATTAGAGAGGATATACTAACAAAATATAAAAAGGATATGTTACAGGGAGTATGCGATTTCAGTTAGTTTGCAACGACCCTAGGGTGGTTGTAACCTCCCTGAACGATCAGTTTGTTTGCAACGACCCTAGGGACGTTACAAAATAACTGCTCGTTCCGGGACGTTGTAACGAAACTAGGGTCGTTGCAACCTCCCTAGTTAGTATGCAACGAACCTAGGGTTGTTACAAAATAACTAGGGAGTTTAAGAAATCATCGAGTCTCGTTTCACAGGGGGCACATGGGGGGGGGGGGGGGGGTTGCCACTCCCCCAGGTAGTCTTTCTGCTCTGCACTCAACATTTTTAGAGCTAGAAGCCTGATTTTTGGGATAGCTGCTCCTCTATCCTTTCTAGATGTTCACTAAAAATTCAAGTTTTTGTGGTTTTTGGTTTCGGAGATATGACCTTGTTTTTCAGGTCATGTCATGACCCAAATGGCCAATTCTCAACATCTTGCGTTGGCTATGGGCCTTGTGAGCTTTTGACACCTTGATTTCGGCCTTTTTTGCCAGTCTTACCTCCCACCTATCATGGAACATGTTGTTCGACGATGTACAGATGTCAAGGTCAGGGTTAAAGTCAACCTAGGTCATCTAAAATAATTGCGTTTTAGGCAAGCTGAATTTACTTTTCGTGAAGTTTTTTGACTGCATTCTTGGTGAAAGCTTCTCAGATCATGATTTCATGTAATAGGAACACAAACAATCGGTGCACACATCATTATACACACAGACACACACAGACATACAGACACATATCACTGACCTCGACCTAACTTGACCTGAAATGACCTCAGCAGCAAAAATCTGGTCGGGTAGTGTGACAAAGAGGTTCTAGCTAGCTGGGCACCAGAAAACGGCATCGTCATCGCTATATGATAAGCAGCGCACTTGATATCCAACGGTGACCCAAAACAGCAACATTTTTTAGTTTGACCTGACCTGGAAGGTCAATGACTGACCTGAGAAGGTAAAACTGGGTATCATTGGATTTGTTTCTTCCCAAAGAATCTTTTGGTCTTTACCGCGAAGCTCTATCTCCAACAGGAACGAAATGGCGAGGGGGGGGGCAACCCCCCCCCCCCATGTGCGTTCTAGGATGGGAAAATGGCATGTGCGGGCGAGGGTTAACTCTCGCCCTTATTGGTGTTTTGCTAGCTGCAAACGCACATGGCGGGGCTAGGTTATTGGTTAACTTTCCAGTTCAGGTCAGTGACTCAGAAGTCGGGAAAATCGGGACCTGTTAAAACTTTGGAGAGTTAGCTTGTTACGGGGTTTTTCGGTGCGCTGATCACGAATTTCATGTTAGCTTTGATCACCGATGATGTCTTGATGTTTTTGGGTCAGGTCGGGTCAGGTCAGGTAAGGTCAACCAGTAGGCGTCTTGCTAGCTGTCCATAGTAGGTGTCAACCACCACTGACAGCCTCGTGACATGGTACGAAGGCGCCAAAATTACTTCTTAAATGTTCAAATGGGTGCTAAATTCGAAATCAGCTCCAAAAACTAGCCTAAAGAATATATGAACCCAGAAGAAGTGAACTAAGGTCATCAAAGATCAATGACCTTGACCTGACCTTCACGTGACCTTGACACCCACTATAATGCATGGGACCATCATCATTTCACATGTTTGAACGTTAACCCGCGCCCCGTAGGGGGGGGGCGAAACGGCCCCTCCCTGTCCTTTTCGGTCGATATCTCCTAAACGGCTGGAGATATCGCCACCAAACTTTCAGGACCCCTCCGGGCATCAATTTTACACATTGTGACCAAAATTTTTCCAGAGGCTATGATAGGTTGGCCAAAAATGACGTCAGAGTGACGTCATGTTTTGTCATTTTCGACCGAAAAAAGACCTTCGCGAGAAGACCTGTCAGGACTACAGCTTTGAAGATACAGAAAAATGATCAAGACATAAAAGGTGTAGAATTGACAGGGCTACAAAACTGCTATCTCGAATTTTTGAAATTTTTGAGTTTTGACCCCCAAAAATAAAAAAAGCATTTTTTGGATATATTCGCCAAAAAATCCAAAAAGTTTTTTGAGTTTCGAAAAAACCGGAATATATGTGATAGTGCCTACCGTCTTCTATCTACATATTAAATTTCAGATCGATACCTCGTTTTTTGGCCAAGTTATAGCGAAAAAACTGTTCAAAAATGATGACGTCAAATTTTCAAACTCAATTCTTGGCAATTCTGGAACTCGTAGAGCAAAACAAAGACTACCATTAGACTCCCCGTGACGAGCTGCATCGAATCGATACCCATTTTATGCAAAAATATCAACTTTGAAATTTGACCTAATTTGACCTGACCTTGACCTGACCTTCACAAAAAACGTGACCTAGGCTGGCCCCAAAGGCTGCCTAACCCACATAATCGCATTTGTCATGTAAAATGGACCATAAAACATGTATCACACGACACATTCATATTGTGACCCCCGGTGACCTGACCTCGCTGTGACCTGACCTGGTATCAGTGACCTCAGATAGCAAAGTATGTGTTTGACGAACAATGTACCATCGATGGTTTTCAATAAATTACCAATTTACTCGCTTTCACAGCACATTTCTTGAATTGCCTGTGAACGGTGAAAATCTGACCTTTGACCTGACCTGTGACGTCATCGGTTTGACCTAGGTCAATGAAATTTGGTCACAAGGTAGTTCCCGGGTGGGGCTATCGAACACCGTTTGAATTTTGAAAATCGGCCGGTAACTTTCCGAGATCTTAGGGGGGGGCCGAAACGGCCCCCCCCCCTACGGGTGGTAGGGTCCGCCGGTAGCCCTACGGGGCGCGGGTTAACAATCACAAAAAGACTGGAAACGAGCGGATAATAACCGTTTTTACGAAGGGCTTCCTGGCAAATGCCCATCTAATTTGAACAAATCTGCACCAAATGTGCACCTAATCTGCACAAAATGTGTACTAGATGGCCGTCGTGAAATACTCCTGAGCTGAATGTTCAAATTTTGTTCTTCTTTTCTTTTTAAATGAACTAGATTGAACAAGATTTTCAATGGACAAGATTGCTGACGGCCCTCATGTGAAATGAGACTCGATGAATTCTTAAACTCCCTAGTTATTTTGTAACAACCCTAGGTTCGTTGCATACTAACTAGGGAGGTTGCAACGACCCTAGTTTCGTTACAACGTCCCGGAACGAGCAGTTATTTTGTAACGTTCCTAGGGTCGTTGCAAACAAACTGATCGTTCAGGGAGGTTACAACCACCCTAGGGTCGTTGCAAACTAACTGAAATCGCATACTCCCTGTAACAGATATATAAATATCACCCAAAAGGGATGTGATTGAAACGAGCATTCAACGCGACTAGCGAGAGAGAGAGGGAGAGAGAGAGAGAGAGAGAGAGAGAGAGAGAGAGAGAGAGAGAGAGAGAGAAAGAGAGAGAGAGAGAGAGAGAGAGAGAGAGAGAGAAATGGAGAGAGAGAAGAAATTCGAGGAGCAACCAACAATAAAAAGCTAGCAACAAGGCCAATGAACTTATAACCAGCCGATCTTCCATTGCCAATTAGTGCTCGGAGTCTAATTAGATGAGAGATGTTGCGTAAAATCGAAACCGGGCGGTAATTTCCTGTAGCGGGAGTGGTGTGTTCGTAAACAACTCACAGCCGGAGCAAGGACGGGAACAAAGTCAACGTTCAGTGCAAAACGAACATTCAACAAAGTCCACAAAGAAGCTTAGCAAATAATTTGCGTGCCTGTCATTGATGTGCTTCCATATTGATTTGCTTAACCCTATTCCGGGCGGGCTCTGAAAGGTTCGATTCTTGGCGGTGGGGGTCTTTTCGGCCCCCCTTCAGATCTCAAAAACTACACATCGCAGCGACAAACGGCAAACGGCGTTTGATAGATCGTTTAAAGATCTACAACTTTCACAAGTACACTTTCAGGTCAGGTCAATATTGAGGTCACCAGAGGTCATCAACGATAAAATGTTTTGGAATTAGTTACCTATATAACTTTTAAACTAAGAAACATAGAGACATGAAACTAATATAGTTTTTGTTGCTCTCGTCGAGGCGATGCAAAATAAGTATGCGATGACCTTCACAGGTCAATTTGAAATTTGACCCGAGGTCAAGGTCAGGTCATTCATCAATGAGGTTGTGGGGTATGGTCATGCTGCATACCAAACGACGCGCCTTGACCAGGCGAGCAGTTTGGTACCACTTACAAGTCTTTAGCACCATCATGTCGTGGTTTATTGACAGAAAAACGATTTGTGAGGTCACATGACCTCAGATGACCTTTCCCGGTGCCCCTGTCAATTAGCGGCACCAGGATCATCACCGATGAGATGATCTTCCATAAGACTGAAAGATTTGGGTGGTTTCGACTCGTTTACACGAAGCAGGAGGCGTTTCAATATTTTCCCATAGGCTTGCAATGTAAAGGTCATGAGTCTGGCCTGACCTCAGGTCACAGATATAAAAATTATGAGATATACAAATTGCACATACTGATACCCAAACTAAAACCTGAAGAGAAGAAATTGATCCGCCAAAAACTCTAGCTCTGGCGTGATTGCAAACTTTTCTGAGGTGGGGCCACCAAACCGCCTCTGGTGACCTGACCTGACCCGGCAACTTTTTTTTTGTCAAAATGTGCGCAATGAATGTTTAGGAAAAGTCACCAAGTATGAGCTTTCAGTCTTGCGGCGTTTGGCAATGGCACAAGAAAAACCTGAAGGGGGGGCCTTAAAGGTCCCCCTCGCCCGGAATAGGGTTAAGGGGTGTTTTAAAACGCATGAATACTATCGTTGAGTCATGTAACTAAAGTATTGCGGAGATTAATGCGACTCACCAGAGTCCGAGTCGATGACGGAGTCGGGAAAACTGAGCTCCGACTCGACAGTGACCTGGGGCGGGCTCTGAAAGCCCTCGGGCGCCTCCAGAAAGCTGGTCGGAACCGTCAGCAGCGGCTCCGTCTCGCCCGGCAGCGAGTGCCTGTGGACAATAGAAATAACAAGTGGTTAGCACACCCATCTCAATAAGTCGCTTTCATACGCACCGTGTCGCCAGCGACTGAACCAAACATCTGAATGTAATTTTACTTGTTATAGCTTGCACTTGAGAAAAGGACAAGGCAGTACATACAAATTACAAAGCGAAGGGTAGCATGTTGTGGCATTTATCGAAATCAACTTGCTTAGAAGCAAATTCCTAAAACGGATCAACATTGAACAATGAGCGCTCATATATTTAGCAAAAGTAAGCAGCTCCAGAAACTATACTGACATCCGCTGGATTAAAACTTCCCCTGACCCTCTGACTCTAAATATTGCAGCCCCCAATGACCCGCGGTTTCGGTCAGAAGTCGATACTGAACTCTCTCTGGCACTACACCTACGTCGCACCGCTCTGACAGAGGTGGCGGCCCGGCCCAAATGGCTCCGAGCTATTCCCGGCTAAAACGTGTGAAATGGAGTATCTCGAGCGAGCCACGAATATAGCGCCCCGTTCCAAACTCGGCCGGCGCGGTCTGCTCCGCTCTGCTGGAGTCGCCCCAGCTCATCAGGCCGCCTTGACGGGGCTCGTCGAGCTGAGGTCGCCGCGCCGACAGCTCTGGTAAAGATATCGGCTGACCGCGGCCGACCGCCGGAACTAGTCTATATCCGGTCATTGCGTGACCACCGGTCACGGTCGGCACACCGATCTCCTCCCTCACCCCTCCCCTCCCCACGCTGCGCCACCCCTGCCCTGTTCGGGGGAGGGTGGTTCAATGATGGCGGCGTCTTTCGTGATAGGCTGGAAGGTACCAAGACAGTCTGACCGGTTGACAAAAGAGTTACGTGATGGTCTCTGTCGAATCAAACAAGTGTCTGCTGTTATTACGGACAAAACTCGCGCCCTTCGCATGCTTTGACTAGCGGGCTGCCATCAGGAACTGTTATTCTCCAAGTTTCTGCCGTTCCAACGCAAGTTGTTGCCACTGGGGCTATCAATTGCTATCAGTGATGCTTTTTCAGCACGGAATGTCGGGTTTGGTTGCCCTGTAGTCAGCTGCATCCTTGGTAACAGAGCTTCTCTGCTCTAGTGTAAGCGATATCTTTATGGACCCTTTCTGAAAAAAGTTAATTTTCTCGAGAAACATTTTTTAAATAATGATTCAAAATAGCACATCTGTGCTGGATGCAACGCCTATGATTTCCACATTTCTTCTGACAGTAATACATTCAATGCAATTGGATGAATTGTATTATCACTGATAAGCCATTTACATAAGCCAGATAGTAAACTCCTTCTCATCGTTAACATTATCTCGTAAATGAGCTCTAGCCGACATATTTATGGAACGCAGATAGTCCGACTTACCCAGAATTACTATGCAGCATATCACTGGCTGAACGCTAGTAAGTTATCTCTGAGCCCATCAGCCAGCGAGGCTCCAGTTAACTGGGCACCATGAAGTGGCTTCCAGAATTCCACTCCGTCTGCAGCGATCCCGCAGTCCCAGAAACATCCAATGAGCTATCCACCAGCGCTATCAGAGGGTCGGCCACTTTATCAAGAGAGTCTGAATCGTCCATCATCGCTTTCTGTAAGTCAGAAATCTCGCCCACATATAATGTAAGTAGGCATTGAGAAACAATGAATCCAGAGTTTGTATCAGCATAGCACATATCGGTGTAGTTAGAGGAGTAAGATTAGGAACGAAGGCCTGTTTTCATCCCGAGCAGAGTGAAACAGACGACACATACAGATGTTTTGTTCTAGCAGCTCTCGAAGAAACTAGTTTCGTGGAATCGCGGTAAAGCTGACGCCAAGAGAGCTGCTGAGTAGCGCCGGAGGCAGATCGTGGTGGTGTAAACAGGCCTGAGAGCAATGGGAGCACTGAAATAAAGCCCCGGACTACAGGGGAAAACTAGACGCCTTTGTGTGGCGACGAGAGCCGACAGACACCAGTTGACGTCTGTTTGCTTATTTAATTATTTATTAATTTGCTCATTGCAGATCGCTCTAATATTCAATGAAGCCATTTGCTGATTGAATGAAGCTGTTCGGCTACAGTATCGCACATAACGAACCAGCTACCATGGCCTAATCTATGAACACATAGCAATTTAGTGAGAAAATGATAACGCGAGCAAAACCCGCAATATCATCAATATACAAGTACATAGGCATAAGAATACTGGCCTAAACTACATTACACTAAAATATAAAAACGTAAACGTTGACACAATGCACATGCTAGGATAATTCAAAGTCGCACGAACTGCGCACTTCTTGAAAGCCAATGTCTTGTGCTATCCACTCGATATTTGTGACCAAAGGCGTTCCAACTTCACACGTCACGTACGGCCCAACATTAAAGTCAGAACCTGGAAACTTATGTCCCACCAGCGCTGCAACTCAATTCATGGTCGCCATGGAACCCGAACTAACAACGTCTCGAGCGAGGCATGTCCCAATGGAGGTTGTTAGGTGGTGAGAGGAGGAGAGAAGAGAGAGAGAGAGAGAGAGAGAGAGAGAGAGAGAGAGAGAGAGAGAGAGAGAGAGAGAGAGAGAGAGAGAGAGAGAGAGAGAGAGAGAGAGAGAGAGAGAGAGAGGAGAGAGAGAGAGAGAGAGAGAGAGAGTGAATGAATAACTTTGCTTAAAACCAACTCGCTAATCCCGTTGCCAGACCCGACCTCTGTAAGCTTAACCCACGCCCCGCTGGGCTATTCAGCCATACGCGCCCTGCTGGGGGGGGGGGGGCAGATTCTGCCCCCCCTGTCTAACTTCCGAACCGATGGTCGTAGAAAGACGGGGAAAACGGCGATCGAAAGCTCTCAACAAGGCGGATCTAAAGAGCCCAAATTTTTTTGCTTAAAAAGGTCAGAGGTCAGGTCAAGGTCAGGTCAAGGGTACAAAATGCAAGTTTCTACAGTATCGGCCTTGCACCGTAGTTGCCGAAGAATGGACTGAGACTGATTGCCCAAAGCGTGTTCTTAGACTACCAAGACAATATTTGTTGCATGCAATGTCATTCAAAGGTCAAGGTCAAGGTCAGGTCAGGTCAGGTCAGGTCACCAAAAACAAAATATAGAAAAGGGCATGTGCGACACATGTTTTATGGGTCATTTTACTCATAGAATTCAATAGGCACACTCAATAAGTGATATGGACCACCTCTGGATGAATTTCAGGTCAAGGTCAGGTCAAGGTCAGGTCGAGTGAGGTCAAATTTTGAAGTTGGTTTTTAAGGCCTAAAAAGGTGTCTATCCGATGCAGTTTTTCACGGCGAATCGAATGGTGCTATTTTTGTTTCCGTACGAGGTCTAAAACTTACAAAAAAAATCATTTTTCAAAAAATTTGTGTGTCGTGACGTCATAAAATTTTGAATAACTCCCACATTTTTTAACCGATTCTTCTAAAAATTGGTATATAGGTGCACATCGACTACTTCTCTGACATATATTCCGGTTTTTCGATACTTTCAAATTTTTTGATTTTATCATAATTTTCCCAAAAAAGTCAGTTTTTTTGAAAAAATTTGGGCCAAAATCCAACATTTTCAAAAACCCGAGATGGCCATTTCATAGACAAAGTAAAATAACGTATAACCTTTTTGTTACGTCTTGATTCCTTTAAAAATGAAGATGTTAGCGGCGTTTGAAATTTTGCCGTTTTTGAGGCGAAAATGGCGAACATGACGTCACAAAAACGTCAATTTCTCAAAAAATTTCCGACGGATTCCGCTCAAATTTTCAGGGACCGTGTCAAATTGATGTATGATAAGGTACTGAAACTTTGACGTTGCTGGCGTAACGCGTTTAGAAGTTATTGGCGAAAAACGGGAGGGGGGGCAGATTCTGCCCCCCCCCCCCAGCGGGGCGCGGGTTAACGTGCCATCCCCTCGCCCGAGAAATTCACACCGAGCAATTGAACTCAGAATACCAAACTGACAGCTTCAAAAGACCTACCCGATTATGCATTTTTCGAGAGAGAGAGAGAGAGAGAGAGAGAGAGGGGGGAGAGAGAGAGAGAGAGAGGAGAGAGAGAGAGAGAGAGAGAGAGAGAGAGAGAGAGAGAGAGAGAGAGAGAGAGAGAGAGAGAGAGAGAGAGAGAGAGAGAGAGAGAGAGAGAGAGAGAGAGAGAGAGAGAGAGAGAGAGAGAGAGAAACATCCCGCCACCCTACCACACAATGACTGTCTCACCTGAGCGTGACCTTTTTCTTGACCCGCTGCGCCACATCGCTGTTGCCCCGCGAGATGACCGGCAGCCGGGCGTGCTTGTAGATGGGCGTGGTCGGCTCCGAGGACTGTTTGTCCACCAGGATCGACTTAGGCATCGGACCCGGCAGGGGAAAACAGGTGGGCGGCTGGCTGAGGAACGGCGGGGCGGTGGCGGGGGCGGGGGCGGCCGGAGGACTGGCGGAGGGCGGCGCCGGCGCCGGCTCCGGCGGCGGCGGCTGCGGCGGCGGCGGCGACACGGGCAGGGCAGCCAGCAGACGCCGCCGATCCTCCATATACATCTCCAGTAGCTGGTCCAGCTTGCCCTCGATGTCTTCCACCTGTGGGAGAGCAGCGGCAGAGGTACACGCGCATTAGACTGATTGAATTTATACAACTAACTATACAGTTTGAAACACAGCCAAACGGTAGGGAAAGCTTCTTGGCTTAAGCCGCTTTGAAATTTACTATTTGCTCTTGACGGGGATATCCCTACAATCAGTGGAAATGCTAGTGTCAAACTAGAGGCCAGCTGTAAATGGTTTGAGCTTGTCCGACTTACCTAGTTGCCGTTTTATTTATTCCGCTGCCAGTCTTACAGTTGTTTACAAACACTATCGATCGAGGTAGAGTCAGTTGGAGCCGTGCAGCAAGGTTTTCATGTTCTTGAATAACACACACTTAAATATAAATATAACAATATCAAGCTATTTAGAGCATACCAATGATGAATATTTAAACGCAGCTTCGAAATACTCAACTAGCTGTTAACATGCAAGCCACAGATAAATCCGAAGTCATCTACTCGGTTTTATACATAATGAGAAGATAAATAATCAAGCATAAACTCAACTGACCCTTGTTTTTGACGTCATTCTAGCTCTTAATTTCAAGCAAACTCATTGCGCCACTAAAGTCACGGTTGTAGGCAGCTGATCAATGAAGTAAGTCGATGCCGCATTTAAATAGAGCATTTCCCGAGGATTTATAGTTTCAAAGAACATATGGATCTAATGCAAATTAGTCTTTTCAAGGCAAGCAGCGCAGAACTGGCAGGGGCGCTAAGGGTAAACCAGGGTAAACGCCAAAATCAAAGGGGACACGGTGCCCCGGTGCCCTTCCCGTTCCGCCGCCTATGATCACAAGCATACGCTTCAAAACAAATAATGTAATGTTGAACGCAACTTATATTAAATGTATCCGGAAATATAAAATGCAGAAAGTAGCAAACGTAAATACATATCGTATAATAATTTATTTTAATTATATTTCTAAGATGCGATAATTTTAACGTAAGACTTTGAAAGCCTTTTGAATATAATGAATGCGCAGATAAGCTGATAGTTGAGACGAAGGGTCGCTAACAGAGGCGTTATAAAGTCCGTGGCGCTGCTCTCCGGCATACGTACATATTTTATGCGTAGTTATGCATGTACATTGTACATTGATGTATTTATACCTATATTACATGCATGTATACTTTCATTGATAAAGGAGCTATTTTGAAATACGTTGTCCTTAGAAAGCGACGAATCGATACCAAATTGCACAATTATGCGTGTCGGAGTTAACAAAACGGCGAGTATCGGGGTAGGGGTGATGTTGTTCCTCAAGTGTTGCGCGTAATTATCCGGGTTTCCATTACATACACTCACCTGCCGTTCCACTTTAACAACCCTGGAAGCCAAGCTGATCTTGGAGTCGTACACGTCCCTCGCTTTTGATCCTTGTTTCCCAAGTATAACATCCAGCCTGTGAAGGAAATTCTGTTTAGAACATCAAAGATCTAATACGCTTTCGGGTGCAGACAAAACACTAGCAAATGAAATAGCTAATTACTCATCAAACATTTTGTAATAGCTTTAATAAAACAGTGTGTCAAAACAAGAGCGGGAAGAAACGAAATCTTACTGAAATTATATCATTCAATTAAATTGACATTCAAAACGTCTGAAATGTTCATCACAGCGAACGTAAATAAATCATTTAAACCAGATGCATGGTCAGTTCATACAGAGGCAATCCTGCTCAGACTGGATGCTTTTTGCTTCATTTTTTTCTCACAAATCAGCTCGTAGCTGGTGGATGGGGCTGGTGCTTGCAGGGGAAAAATATTCCCAAAAGCTTTTGGGACCTCTTTGGAACTTAATTGCTTCAATTGTCTCAACGTCTCCAAAGGGCAAAATCTGCCAGAGTAGACGTTTTTTGTGCTAAAATTTTCTGCGACCTCTATATGTGCTATACTTTTTACGATCGATTCTTCCACCAACGGCGAGACACATGGAATGAGCTAAAACTATTATCTTCCAGGTCAACCTGAAAAGTTTGCATCACTTAAATGTTCATGACCACACTAAAACAAGACATACTGAATAGTCAATCCGCTATAATGAGGTAAACAGCTGAGGTGTTCTTATGGCAGAACCACGTCTCTATATTAAAGGGACCCTCCCACCTTAACATTAGATTTGAGTTGAGATAGCCAAAATGGGGTCCCTGGCTCACAATTACCGGTTTCGGCACTCACAACATCGAGAAATGCCTTAAATCGGAAATATTGAATTTCAAAATTGCAGCATTTTGATTCAGAGGGGCTATAATGCTTAGGAATACCGCTCTGAATGTGTGACGTCAGCGCAGATATCTAACGATTTTTAAATGTTTGACTAAAACGTTTTGTAGCACGCGGTGGTATATGCTATTTGCGCGCAACATCTGCCGCAAACGCCGCACTTCTAAAATAAAGTCGCTAGAAACAGCGGAGATCCCAAAAAAGTAAACAAAAGTAAAAGTATAATATCTTGAAAACCGGGGAATATTTTTCGGTGAAATTTGGTAGATATTCGTTTTCGCTCTTTCTGAACCGAGCGACATCACTTTCATGCCAATTCATAAACTTTTTTGAAGGTGGGAGGGTCCCTTTAAGCATTTCTGACAAAAAAAAATGTTTCTGACAAATGAAGCCATGGAGTAAGATTGCATGACTAAATAGGCATGGTACTTGACCTCACTTCACATGCCTCAGAGGCATAATTAGTGTCATAATAGCCGTTTTTACGACGGCCATCTGGTACACATTTGGTGCACATCTGGTGCAGATTAGGTGCAGATTTGGTCAAATCAGGTTCAGTGTGTCTCTTAGCAGCTATCAGCTATGGTTGCACTAATTGCTTATATGCCTGCTTTGTCATATTATCAGAGAGCATCATCGATTAAAACACTGAAATAAATTCATAAAATGAAGATATTTGCTGTAAAAGATATTAGGTGCAGACTTGATCAGATCAGGTGCATTCGTCGGATAGCCCGTCGTGAAAACGGCTATTGTGTTTCCATTTTGATGGTTCATAGCAACCTTCTTCATGGTGCCATCAAAGAAATTACATTTTCCGTAGTTGCCTGACGGCATGTCAATCTACACAGGACAAAGAGGCTTACTACACTAGTTGCAATTAAGGGAAAAAGCAAACATCTAGAAAATCCCACATAGAACGAAAGTCATGCATAATTGTCTTTACGAGCATCAATACTTTGACTCACATGCATTGATACTGACAAACAAATATGTGCAGCACTCACAAAAATTGACGATATACCTACATTTACACTAACTAGTCACAGAAAGAAAGATGCGGCCAATGCACCAGTGCTTAAAGCAACAATTACGGCACCGTGCGATTTCAAGCTCGTGGTTCGCGTGCTATGGTTCATGCATTGATACTTTTGAAAGTGCTATGCCTCAGAAAAATGGAAGATCTCACTTGATAATCATTTATACAATAAATAACTTAATTATATTTTATTTGTTTTGTTCAAAGCCCGAAACAAACGTTGTTTAATTAGAATGTTCGTGACGATTAAACACTTCTAGATTATAGACCGCTTTCATTTCCCTCCGCACCAAAATTGTCATCTTGCCTGCTTGCGCATTGATTTGTTTAATAATTTTCAACCTTGGGGGATACAAATTGAAGTTGCCGCTAACTTTGGACTCGTTGATTGGAAATGTATCGTGCAGGTGACGTGCATTTGGATGAAATTTCAATTAGGAGGTATTCAAAAATTCGGTCTGGTGAGGGCGGGTACCGGCGCTGTCGGCGAGTGCTGCTCTGCTGCCGATATACAGGCTGGCTAGAGCCGCTCACTACTGGTAGCGGCCCGTCTCCACGATCACCCCTACCTTCCGTGCAGAGTGCGAACCCTGGCCAGCAGGTCACTGTGGCCCTGCGAGTACTGCTCAATCACATCCTTCACATCGTACGGCTTCAGAGCCTCCTTAAACTTCTTCCTAGCCACTAAGAATTTAATCTGCGAAGATAGGCGTGAGAGGAGCGGCGTTAGGGTCTGCTCCGGGAGCCGAGAACAGCCCGCGGACAGAGCACTGAGCAAAGAGGACAGGCGGAAAAGGCAGAGGGCGAGAGCCGATAGCCCGGCTCTGCACGACACGACACCACACGACACGACACAACACTGCAGTCGGGAGACACTGAAAACGCGTCTAAACGGGGCGGGAAGTTAGACGCGCAGACACTGCTCGTGCAGAGGGAACACCAAGGGACGCCCGGCCATGCACGGGTCAGAACGGGGCGCGGCGTGGAGCGGGCTACCTGGCGTGCAGCGCCTTCACGCGACTGATGAGGTCCACGTGGCCCACGCTGTACTGCTCGATAACATCTTTCACATCGTACGGCTTTAGCGCCTCTCGGAACTTTCGACGGGCTACGAAAAATTTTATCTATCGGAGGAGAGGATTGAGTGGCGTCAGTTTGTCTGGACGAGGATCCAGCAGCGCTGATCACCGTCGTTTCCGGGGGACGGCTCTGAAAATGGTAACGGCCGGCCGCCACGCACGGAGCGAGCCGCTCAGCAGCGTCAGACACACAGCTGCGTGCGGTTGACACACCTTCTGTGAACAAATATCAAAGAACATTGAGCGACAATGCACATCTGCATAAATCAATCAACCTTTGATGAGCATTTAGCAAACCCAAGTGGTGCATTTCGGTACGTTACTGTTGAACAACTAACTGGCATGTCAGTAACAACGTTTGATTGAATTGATTGTAAGGCCAGCCCAATATATAAAGCCATACGCTTTACTTCAGCAGTTCGTCATTCAGCACTGAGGCCGAATGATGGATGCCACACTGCGCCGCACGGCGTTAGGATATTGCGGCACAGTATACCCTCTCCGTTTGAACACAAACATCTAGCGAGCCAGCACCATCAGCTGTTAGCAGTTTTCACAACGGTCATCTGGAACATTATTAAGTCACATTTGGTGCGACTTCAGCATCTAGATAAATTCATGGTATGAAAATATTTACTGTAAAAGAGCAATGTGTAGAGCTGTTCAAGTTTGATGCATATTGCTTTGGCCAGATCACCCGTCGTGAAAACGGCTATTATAGGCTATATCGCTGAGCCTAACATGACCCTAAATCATTTCTTGAAGCTATGCTTGAGATGACATCAAGGCTAGTGGTTCAAACTAAGACCGCGAGCCGAGACGGGTGCTGATGGATGTTGTTAAAGTTTCCCGTGAAGTGTGAAAGTTATCCAGCCTGGTACGGCTCTAGCGACTTCAAGGGTCTACCTCTGAAGGAAATGAGCCTCCTTTATAAACAGGACTTCAAGAAACCACCATTTCTGAATACGTATTGATCTTCTCTGAATGGCGAAGAGCCTCTCAAAGAAGTCATCAGCTTCTAATTCCGCGCCTCGATTTCAACTTATAAGGCAATATTGCCTGCAACATTTTCGATTATTTAAAGTTGAGGCAATAATGCGGCTTCTTTAGTGTTTGACTAGGAACATCTCAAATGACACGTTAAATCATAACACTTTTTGTACATGTCTACTTGTTTCTCTGACCTGTAACGACCCTCCCCATCTCCACCGCTGTATCGGTCTCCCCTCTGTCACTATCCTCCCGCCAAAGGTCACTGACCTTCCGCAGAGCACGGATGGCGTTCTTGTGCTGCGTGGTGAGCTGGGTCACCCTCGGTTGTACGTCCTCCTCCTCATCTGCAACGTGCAGCACCAGAGAGTTAGACCACGCACCAGCATCACTGCATCACCAGCGCCGCAGGTAGCACCAGCGGTCGTTAGACCACACACCAGCGCTACTGTATCACCACCTCCGCACCAGGTAGCACCAGCGGGTTAGACCACACACAGAGTCGCAGCGGCACCATCGCGTCACCACCGCCTAACCGAACGGCACCAGCGAGGCGCCATGCGCCATCAAAGCGACAGCACACAGCACCAGGGCACCAGTGCGGCACCAGGCATCATCAAAGCGACAACGATGCATCACTTCGGAATCAGCGAGCCCACCGACCCGGAGTATGGCCTGGGCAGGGCGAATAGACGGCGCGCTGGAATTATGGGGCGCGATTTGTGGATGACATATTGCGGGCGATGATGTCTATGGCAGAACACGGCTAGTCATGTAGCTCGTGAACAGCGCTCGCTGCGGGCTACAAGCATGAAATTAATGGGTCCGTTGAGGGCCGACGGCCAAGTGATGGTCAAATAAATATTTAGGGAGGTTCAAAATTTAAAGGGCGGAAAATCTGATCAAATTTTCCATGAAACTGTATGCAGACATCACAAGGCATGGTATGTAACGGAACGGAGATATATCAACTCGTGCATCCGAAACCCAGTAATCTTCCTGAATGAAAAACAAATTGGAGAATAAATCACGGCATACATGGCTGCAGAGAAGCAGAGTCAAAACAACACTACAGCTTACCGATACTTCGTATAACAATTTATCGACGCGTCGCAAAAGGAACATCCGTTTTCCGAAGCTGTAACAATCTGCAAAGCTCTCCGAGTTTCATCCTCGGAACAGACCCGGCTCTCCCGGCAGACTAGCTCATTTTCTCCAGTCGGAAGTTCAAAAATCCTGTCAGCGTTCCGCAGTGGCGGCAGGCTCTCTCCGCCCGTCGCCTCGCCGCGCCCATCTGTGACGCCGCCCCGGCGCTGATGGCTGTCAAAGCCAGCCGTCTATTGTGACCGGGCGACGCGGCGAGAGCCGTCAACACCCATCGACGTCGGCCTGGGAACGGAACAAGTCGCCAGGCCCCGTGACACGCCGCCGGAGCGCTACTGCCCGACGGGGGCCGCACGACAGCGACGAGCGACAACCGGCGGCTGGCACCATGGGCTGACAACTTGGCGACGGACGGTGGTGGTGAGGGCAAATTTGTTAGTTGTCGATTACCACACAGCGGGCATGGCGCTTTGATCGGGAGAGAAAATGTCCATAAGAAGAGAAGACAGACTAGAAAGTAAGTACTCTAGGTCAGCCTTCTCTGTAAGCGTGAAGGATTGAGAGCAGTTCGACGTCAACCACCTTACATTGTATAAGAAAAAAACTGGCACTCGGCCAGCACTGCCTGTTGTCATGAACATGCTAATATTTTGAACGTAACAAGGTAATTGCAGCAACAAACATAGCCAATTAACACGACTCTCTGAACGTAACGAAACATCTTTTCACCGCGACTAAAAATAATATTGTAATATAGATGCAGTGAGCAGTAAATGGCAAGACGTGCTCAATCGATTGCACAATAATTCGAGTAAATCGCAGAGAGATTGCACAATAATTCGAGTGCATTGCAGAGGACGATCCACAAACTGGGAAGGGCAGAACCCCCGACAAAACAACCGAGGAAAACTAGCTTATCAAACGACGGTAACTGAGCCGGAAAACAAGATCAGACAAGCCAACAGACGGGGCGGGCAGGTTGACAGACAAACACAGACCAACAATCTGTCACTGCTGCCGACAGCCTCGCAAACGAGACAGCTGCAGCGCAAAGCGTGAAGCGTAAACGCCAAAGGACTGTCAGCGGATGTCACGACTAACGAACGCCCTGCGCGCTGTCACAAAACAAACTGAAGTAGACAATCAGTGTGACTTTTTGCGACTTCAACTCAGTGCGACATGCCTGCATTTCACAGGTGGTGACAGACCATTAGCACCTTGCATGTCATCTGTGAAATTGCATGTATTGATGAGCTATGGTTTACATTTTATAATAAATAAATTTCTAGTTTTGTTTTTAAACTCAGCTTTCCAATGACTATGCGCTGTCACATATCTCTAGACTGTGACATTTATTGGGACGTTATCTCGCCTGACCGGTCAAGGCGCCGGAAACTGATTTTAAATGTTATTTCATTTTGAACGTCTCGGCAATGCCTGGCGAAAACAAATGCGCTTTATCACATCAATAATGCTTTTAGCATCAGTCAAGCACGTCAAATCATTTTTCCAAGTGCTGAACTGATAAATGTCTTTTATCTACGGCTACCTTACGGTTACATGCTTTTCATAAAAAAGTTCTTGGACATGACCCATTTTTATTCTTTACTTCGCGAAAACGTTTCATAAATGTAATTTACAGCATCACACAAAATACCAAGTGTTGCTTCAGTTGCATGATATTGCAGCATATGGCGCGGGCAGGATATCAAATATTTTCATTATTTGTTAGTGTGTCAGTGCTTCCAGCTGCAGTGTAGGTTACTGCGTGTTACTCCAGAGCACGCCTTCCTCGTCATGTCACGCCTGGCTCCGTTTTGCTCACGCCACATCAGCGTGCAATATATCCGGATCAGGTCTCTGGGCCGGTACAGCCGCCGACACTGGCGCCTAATGAAGTGATTAGGACTGGCGAGGAGGATTTTCGCACGGCACCAGTCGGGCAGAAGGCCCGAAAATCGGTCTGTAAGGTCGGGAAGGTCAGCCTGACAGTCACTCAGTCGAGTAGTCGAACGCTGGGTACTCGGGAAGTCCCTGTCTGCACCGACACAGGACAGTCAGACAGATTGCTACACCAAAAGTGTCTAGCTGATATACGTCGATGGTGGCTGTCTTAGATCTCAACATGTCAGCTCAGGGGAAACCCTGGAGGCATATAGCTGCAAACAGAAGCCGAACCTACACACAGAAAAATATTAACACCGTTAGCGGTGTAATTGCACAGTACATATCTGAGCACTTGAGGAAAGTTAATTTAGTCCCTTCCCCGCTTAAATTACTCGCGCTTCTAAATGAACACCAGGAAGAAGGTAATAGAACACTGTTAGGAGGGTTGGGTGTTTTGCTACATGTAGTAAAACACCCAACCCTCCTAACATTGTTCTATTACCTTCTTCCTGGTGTTCATTTAGAAGCGCGAGTAATTTAAGCGGGGAAGGGACTAAATTAACCCGCGCACCGACGGGGGTCTGCGCCAACTTAGTACCGACGGGGGGGGGGGGCGGATGACCGCCCCCCCCCTGAGATCTCGAGAACGAAGCAAGATAGCGACAAGCGGTAAACGGCATCGGATACGCACGGACAAGGTCTACAATTTTTACAAAGGTCATTTTCAGGTCAGGTCAAAGATGACGTCACAGGGGTTGAAAAAGTCAAAATGGCGGCGCTAGATATGGAGAGGGTTTTTCTCGAATAACTTTCGAAGTAGTCAAGATAGGAACAAACTAAGGGCATCATCGTGATCCTCTCGTCAATTCGCATCGAATGATATATATGTTGACCTCGAAAGGTCAAGGTCAAAGGTTGACCTCAGGTCACGTGACCTCGAGGTCATCATGTATATCATTCGATGCGTCTTGACGAGCTGAACACAATGAGACCATCCGCGCGGCTGTATCTTGTTCCTGTAAGGAGTTATTGGCAAAAAACCTTTGGTGACCTTTGATGACGTCACATGACCTTACAGCTGCCCAACAGCAAAACAGACCTCAAGGTAGTGAAGGTTGATCGTATGTGAAGTCATGTATGGTATATGGGGCCATTCCGACCCGTTTTAGTGGTAAAAACAGGGAGTTGATTTTTCCCCCATTGACTTATAATGGGGAGGTCGCGAAATTGACCTGACCTTAGGTCACCGACATCAAAATTCCGAGATATACAAATTGTAGCTACTAATGACCTGATAACATCCTGCGACTTTCAAAGGCCTCCGACATCTACTGTAGCTCTGGCACGGTGACAAAGTTGCAAAAAAGTGACTTGAGGTTGGGTCATTCAAAGTGACCTGGTGACCTGACCTTAAAAGTTAGGAGGTTCAAACTTGCACACCATGTGTAAAATTGATGAGAGAAAAGTCATACCAAATTTCGCGGCTCAAGTGCTCAGATATGTACTGTGCAATTACACCGCTAACGGTGTTAATATTTTTCTGTGTGTACAAACATGGGTCAGTTCGGCTCCCTGTCGCAGAAACGCCTAGCAAAACTGGGGACACGCCTTGTGTCTTGTGAGTTATTTTGTGAGGACTCCCACCACCGCCGACAAAAGGAAAGACGTCGATGGCGTAAAACCGGCGGTCTCGTCGATTGCCGACTATAAAAAGACAATAACCGTGGCGTCGACGTGCCGGGCCGATTGGCTGCTGGTTCTGCTGTCACCGAGCAGGAGATAGCAGACGAGCAGAAACCACCCCCAGCAAATCTCTGGAGGAAACTGAACGGTCAACTGACGTGCAGAGTCGACCAGAACGCGACGACAGCCAGCTCACAAAGCACAGTGGACAAACATGCCAATGGTTACATTCATAATGTATGAGAAGAAAGATATGCATACGTTTGAAACATTGCGATTCAAAGAAAACTGAACAGTAAAAGCCTCGGCTTCTGTGCGAGATGTAAAAGCAAGACAAGTCGCAGATAGCTGTTTGTCAGCAATGCTTTATGAAGCTCGCTGCTGTTCTCATGCGTCATCTTACGCGCAAGATCGACATAATATGTGCCTGGGCGACCTCAAGACTGGACCGCACAGACCATGAAGCGAAGCGTTGAAGCACCGATCGTTACTGGCCACCACGCTGATTCTCTCGTGGCAAAGAACGAAGCGGACGGAAGGCCGTGAAGCTCATCGGACAAACACGTGACATCGATTTTGCATGTGGATTTGTGCGAGTGAAATTTGTAGGCTCTTTCTGTGCATTCTTCGTAAAACAGCGCGTTTTCTCCTGTGCTGTCTTCATTTAGAACTGTGCGGATGGGTGAGCTTGAGCTCTGCTCGCGTGCTCTGGCTTACGCATAATTGCGCGTGTACATAGACCGTGCATGTCACGCTTTCCGTGAACAAACACTTCATCATGTGCTCCGTGCACGTATCGTGAGCAAGTACTTGAACATGTGCACAGTGCGTGCGCGGACGGCGGCGGCAGTCGGGCCCATCTGGTGCAGACCGCAGGCGGGCGCGGACAGACACGGTGGCAGTGCGTGGCCGATCGGACAGGGTCATCTAGACCCGTCACCTTTGCAGGAGAAGAAGGACGCCCTCCGCGAGCTGCGCCGAGAGCCGGTGGACCCGGCCGACTGGAGTCGCTGCTCGAGGCCGACAGCGGTCTGCTGCAGCAGGCTGCACAGCGCTGGTACCTCGCGCGTCGGACTGGCAGGGACGGAGGCGGCGCCGGCGGCCGGCCGCGGCTGCAGACCGGCCAGACTGAGGCCGGCCAGAGGGGCAACCAGCGGGCAGCCGGGCAACGGGCGAACTACCGGGAGAGCACACCCACCCTGAAATACAGCTACCCACCGACAGCGGGGGAACTACCGGGAGAGCACACTCAGCCTGAAATCCCCTACGTACCGACAGCGCTGCGGTATCGGGCTACATTTAACGACGGAGAAATGTAAGGCAAGGCCAAGCTAGAGACACAACGATAATATACGTATACAAGTAACACACAATCAACTCTATGAATAAAGGCTAGATTAATGCAGGACAGGAGCTAAGTCACCGGCACGTGACTAAGTCATAACCCTTATTGGGATATTGGGCTTGATAACTGACTACGAAACACCGATACGAAGCTACGCTTCTGAAGTGCAATTCCGTTAGAAAGGTATCTTTGCTATTGAACTAAGGTTGGAACTACAAGTCTGCGTTGCGGCGTTTATACTACTGGCGCAAGTCAAAACTACGGAATCATACAGAACAGCCAAACGATTTAAGAAAATTGTTACGATCTAGATCACAGATACCAAGTAATCGACATGGATAAAAACGAAAGCATAACAACGAGCATATCATAAGATGCTCTCGAGTGGTTTACCCTATTATGTAAATGAGTTCCTTCTGCACCCAATTTGCCTTATGCAAACTAGGTCTGGGAACCTCGAATAGCTGACGGAAAAGACAAACAAAACAGCTGTCCATTTGCACTATTGAATTCTTTCACGCGAGAGACAGCACTCTCTTCAGCATTCCAAATGCTTTATCCTGATTAGATTTTACACGATAGCTCTGTATCCGATGTCAGTCAACTACCATATGAATAAAGTGCTGGAAACTGGAAAGTATGTCAGATAAGTTGGTATACCTACTAGAATTAGGGCTTATAGTAATAAAAGCATCAAGCTTAAATATCAGATGTATTATTTTTAATTTTAAACACTGAAATCATTTTGTGATATAAAGATATTTGTGGTAAAAGAGATATGATGCAGATTTGGTCAAATTAGGCGCATTCGCCAGACATCCCGTCGTGAAAACGGCTATTATTTTCCTGCAATGGATGCAAACCAACTTCATAAGTTTTGTTTGGTAGCAATCATCATACAAAAGTTATGAACTATTCAGCTGTTTAAGTTTCATCGGGACTATTTTGAGCCGCAGGAAATATTTAGAAATGGCTAAATGAAAAAAAAACCGATAGTTATGTCAACTACCCTTCAAATGAAATCACTATTTTCTTAGAAATTCAGTGCATAAATTTATCTTTTTTCACGTAAATTTTATATCTAAAAAGGGATTAAATTATTGAAGCCATCGATATTATAAAGAATACCTCTAACATTTTGCATGCTTGATACATTTAGAGCACGCGGGAAAAGTTTGGGGTCGTGGCTGGCTCTCACATGCTGCGAATGCTTACCGTCTGAGTTCTTTTTTACTCCGAGCGACACGTCTGAACTGTCCCTAGTCACTGAGTCTTCACTGTGACTGGGGTGTAACCTGCAACAGAAGAGGGAAACAGATGCGACAGTGCGACTTGGGAAGGAGCAAGATAAATATTTGTAATGTGTGTACGTGAATGAAAGCTGTGAGCGTCGAGGAAGTTATAAGTTTGGTGTGTAGCTTGTGACAGAGATGATGTGCACAAATTGTGCAATACATAAGGTGACAACTTTGTGCCATTGACCTATTACGCTGGATTTGGATTTTCCTCGCAAAAAAAAATCGGTTGAAGTTTTCCTATTGTATTTTTTTTTTTTGCTTATGTGTCAATGGACAGAATGAGGCGGCTAGGTAATAATAATCAATTCATTGATTCACATAATCGACTGCCGCTCCTATCCCCGATGCGATTTCCACAGGCAGCCAGACGGCGCCGCTCTCGGCTGGTTGCTACTAATTGAGCGGCCAGAGCTGATGACGACCTCCGCACCGCCTGCGGCTGACCCCTGCTGACCTTTCGGCCGACCTCAGTGGTCTAGTCGGCGCGATTAATGCGTCCCCTGGGGGCAGGGCTGGCCGGCTGACTGCACGGAGCCGGCTCGACGAGAGCGCAGCGCGCGCGGCTCTGACGGTGGGGAGAGGAGGCGGTACGAAGTCCGTCACCAGCGCTCCCTCGGAGAGACATCTGGGACGCTCCTCAGCGCCGCTCGGTAGGTTCCACGAACTGGACCCGAGTCGAGCTCGGCTTAGCGAGGTGCCGACGATGGATGGGGTCAGCAACGATCCGACGAGCATGAATCCGACGAGCCCTGCCCTCCGCGAGAGCGTGCTGAGCTCAAACCTCTTCTGCCTACACAAGAGTCCCTTGCGAGGCCAGCAGCAGGATTTGCAAATGACTTTCGCTGTATATAATCGCATATATTTCCAATTTAGACAATCAGGTTCAGACATTCGAAGGACCATGTCCCATTGGACCCATGCTTCTTTTCTGCGCTCTCCGTGCTCGGTACGTGCTCTCATTACATTCTCCATGTGCTGGCAGTGGCAAGTGCTCGCCCGTGATCGATTTGTTATCCCCGCGTTCTTCAGTACTCAGTAGACAGTAGTCAGCACGCGTTCTCCCGTGTCCTCAACACATATTCTCTTTCGCGCTCTTCTCGTGTTTCTGTGCTTTTTAGTCTTTAAATGATATCTCGACCTCCTGTATGTATTTTCCCTGTCAGGCATGTGTTTTATTGTGACCAATACCTGTTCTCCCCGTTCTCGGCACATTTTTCTCCTGTGCTCAATGTCCACATATTCCCTCGACACTCACCTGGCCGAGCCCATGTTCTCCAGGGACGAGTTGACGTCCGTCTGGCGGGCCCGGGCGGCCGCCAGCTGAGCGGATGTGTTCAACGGACGGCTCCGACGGATTGTCGGCAAACGAGACACGAACGACGCGTTGTGCTTGAAACTGAAAGACGTCAGAACAGGTCAGATGAGAGTATTGATTGGTCAAGTCAAATCGGGCCAGGTCATATGGTGAATTGTACTCAACGCAGCAGCCTTTCACTATAAAAATTGTTGGAGAGGTTTGTGTGTTATTCCGTTGTTTTGCTTTATAAGTGTTTTTTTTTTAACATCTAGAATTTCATCGAACTAAGTAAGGGATGTTTTTGGTAAAATGTCAGCTAAACAATGAAATAGGTACTCATAGGTACTCAGCTTTTTGCAAGCAGTGGCAGGTATGTGTAAGGTAACACGATTCCATGGAGACAAGAGCCTTGTCTTTGCCAGAAATGTCGATCGAGAGTTAAAGCACAAGCCAGAGTCATCTCTATATTTAGAGAAGTATATGCACCAGCACTACTTGGCCAGATAATCCCATATGGAGAGGCATACTCTTAGCGTGCAAACTCTCTTGACCACCTGTGGTCAGGAAGAGCAGTCCAGTTGGGTGCTGAGCAGTCCAGTTTGTTCCAGTCCATCCACGTTAATGTGTGGGAGCCAATCATTGACCGGAATATGTGACCCAAGGACCTTAACATAAAACAAAACCAATAAAATCAATTGAACTAACAGCGGGAGCACGGTTTGCAGCAACGCGTATACGAAAAAACTGTTTCTTACTATCATTGACATTGCAAGCTGATGGATGTGGCGTAATCGACGAATGAATATACCGGCATGTTCTATGCCTTCACGGTTCATGCAACGAAGAGGAGAAAAAGGCATGCTCCATATACTTAGGTAAATATCATCCAATAAGATGGATAACGAGAGAGAGAGAGAGAGAGAGAGAGAGAGAGAGAGAGAGAGAGAGAGAGAGAGAGAGAGAGAGAGAGAGAGAGAGAGAGAGAGAGAGACCGGAGAGACAGAGAGAGACGGAGAGAAAGTCCGACAATAAATAATTAAAGATATACAAGTGCAAACCAGTAGCGTAGAACATTTCCTATATTGGAAAAAAACGATAAGCATTAATATTCGCTAACAAAAGTCAATCTAAAAAATATAAACTGCCAATAGCGCATGGAACTATAACTCGATTAGTTTTAATCTAGACCGCAACCTCTCTACAGCTATATAGGTCGAACTGCAACAACAGCTTACCTTTCCGTTGTGTTCTAGACTAGCTCTAAAGCGAAGCCAGCAGCTCTAGCAGCACATCCAATGGAGCGCCACGAACTTGTCGGTCTGTCAAACGCCGCCCGACCAACCACATGCTAAGCCGAGTCCCGAGCGCCGAGCTTGTGAGATCCTCTCCACAGCTTCTATAGCTACGGCGTAGCTCGACTGAAGTCCACTAAAATGCCAGCTCACTGCCTACATACCTAACCCCACCTAATGAGGGTAGCATACTCACAATCCGGAGCCAGAAGGGGGTAGCAGCGGTCGCTGGCTCATGGGAGCCTGCTCCTCAGACTTTGCCCTTCACAGACACCAGGAGAAAGAGAGAAAGAGAGAACATGACACACAGGGAGAGAGTAGAGAGAGGGACGCGACCGGAGAGAGCGGCACGGCAGACGGTGGTGTCCGGTCGGCTGCCACGTAGCGGGCGATGCATGGCACACGGCACGGACACCCAAGCACGGGGAGGGGGAGAGAGTGGGGAGAGCGGAGTTCTAGGTTAGGGAGAGAGGGATGAGGGAAGAGGGAAAGTGTGGTACACATACACAGACGGTTTGATAGGTTGGCATAACATTGTGTACAAAAGTAGCATGTAGTGAGATGATAGAAAGAAATGAAAAGAAAGTTGGTGGGTGTGGGTAAAGAAGTTGCATTTACCATCAAAATACCACGCTTTACATATACAATACATTGCAAAGCAAGACTGTACATTGTAGCTATTAAATGCATGTTTACATGACCGTGATCACAAGAACAGCATTCAGGATAGGGAGCGAGTGAAAAGGCACAGACAGATAATAAAAGGGTATATGACACGGGGAAGGGCATCCTTTACATGTTCCTCACATGAATGCTGCAAAGGACGATAGCCACCTTGTCGTACCCACCAGATTCAATGCACCCCTCACTGTAAGCCATGCAGTAGTCCATTTCCCACCAAGACACGCCGTTTCAGCAGCATACTCCTTCCTGAGGAGCACCACTCCCTAACGCCGCTCTCGGCTGGTTGTGGCGCATTACCTACTCCAAGACACCTTGGCACTGATGTGGACGTCCCAGAGCATCATGCGGCAACACTCACGTGGGCGGGCTGGGGTAGGGAATCTGATGTATTCGCCACGTGGCCACCGAGAGCGAGTGCTCGTCAGAGGCGTAGCAGCGCCAGAGACACTGGATGAGGATGGCAGCCGGGTGGCGGCGCCGGATCATGTGTTTCTGGCGCTGCTGCTGCTGCACCTTCAGGGCCAGACCCGAGCCCAGAATACCCTGCGGACGCAAACAGAGGGGAGATCAGTGTTACAAGGGAACCATCGGTGATGAGTTTACTGGTCATATGACGTAGGGATTCGAAAATAAGTCATTTGATAGTGCTGGGTAAATTTTAGGGAGAGCGGAAGGAGAAAGCCCTGTCCAAATAAAATTGTCTCAGATCTAAAAACATTACAAATACAGTTATTTTTACAGCGATATATTTTTGCGGGAGACGTCAATCATCAGTTGATCACATTAGCAACTGCCAACCCATTGGCAAAACTGCCAGTCTTGGCCGCTATAGGCAGGTCCTTTTGTCAGTCAATAGGCTTATTTTGTTTGATTTAAGCCATTGCAAACGTTCCAGAAATTTATGCTTTTGCTGACTGGTGGGTAGTTTGGGCACTCCAAAACTATGTGAATTGGTTTGATTTCTAATGCATGTGCTGCACAGACTTGTATGTTTGAGAACCATAATTTGCATACAGCCTTGTCCAGAAATAATAATAAATTATCATAGTCCTATACCTACACTCACAATACATCAAACAGAACGTCCGGAAATCGTCTATCCAAGGAGCATCAGCCCAGCAACCGGCGATGGCACCCCTGGGCACCTATATCTGCGCCGCACCGGACATCATCATTCAGCACGAAGAGCTCTCCGAGTTAGATTCACTGAAGCAGAGCTTCATTAGTATTACCCACAGCAAGCGGACGATGGACGGCCATGGGCGCACCGGGTCGCTCTTAGCATGAGATCTTACGGCAGCCGACCATGCATTTCAATGTGTTCTGCTTCTCAAAGAATGTAGAGCGAATGTGTGCTTTACAAATAAGCCCCATTCGTATTTATCATATGCATATTGCATGTGTTATGTATGTGTATGTCGACTGGTTGACCTCGCGGTCTGACCCCTGCTGGGCTGGCGCGCTGGCCGTCGCCCGTCGCCTAGCAACAGCGGCCCAGTCTACCTCCCGCGGGGCAGAGTCCGTCAGCTGACCTTGGCCGGTCGGTCAGCCGCGGGCGATATACCGAGAGGCGGATGAGAGAAGGCCGCAGCGCATAAAAAATGCACTTAACGCATAAACATGGAAAACGTAAGGATCAATCGATCACTGCAGTGAATTTGGTCGAGGTCAGGCACTTTTGGCCAGTCAAATCGTGCTTCACTTGAAATTGAAGCGTACCTACGGCTCTCGCGAGATTAAGCGGTAGGTTTTGCACTTTTACATTTCCGGTTATATCTCAGAAACTTATCGATCTACGATGAAGCCATTTTACACGATCATGGCCGGCTTGTGAACCAACAAGTCGATCGCATCTTCAAAACTTAAAAGCTTAAGACGACGAAGATATAGCCTGAAGTACATTAAATTTTCTAGGTGCAAAACCTACCGCTAAAACCCGCGAGAACTGTATCTTTTACATATGTTTATATCGGTATCGAATGCCTACACGCTTTGCTCTGACACAAAATCAGTTTGATCTTTTCACGTCCTTTCCTTTACTTTTGAGATATTCTACACACAGAAAAATATTGACACCGTTAGCGGTGTAATTGCACAGTACATATCTGAGCACTTGAGGAAAGTTAATTTAGTCCCTTCCCCGCTTGAATTACTCGCGCTTCTAAATGAACACCAGGAAGAAGGTAATAGAACACTGTTAGGAGGGTTGGGTGTTTTACTACATGTAGCAAAACACCCAACCCTCCTAACAGTGTTCTTTTACCTTCTTCCTGGTGTTCATTTAGAAGCGCGAGTAATTTAAGCGGGGAAGGGATTAAATTAACTTTCCTCAAGTGCTCAGATATGTACTGTGCAATTACACCGCTAACGGTGTTAATATTTTTCTGTGTGTAGTATAGCCTGCATACGGCCCATCAAAATACTCGTCGCAAAGGTGCAGAAACTTCAGCTGCTTCTATTCATATCGAACGACAGCTAAGTCACCATGCATGCTTATTGATTTAAGGATTAACTTTCGTCAAGCTATTAGATGTCCACGTCATCACAAATTGCCACCTCAAAGGTCGACTTCTTGTCACCGTAATGCCTGAACGCCGCCGCCTGCTGCTCATGGCTGACGCACGGGCAGCTATTGACACAGCATCAATAATGAGTGGCAGGTGCCGGAATTTTGACACGACTGACTGACGCGAGCTTTACGTCACTGGAGGCACGTGGGAGGTACGGCCTATTAACGAAACACGATTCCTCCTTCAACATTGGCGGACAGTGACAAAATGCTGTTTTAACAGACACGCGCCGCTGTATAAACATGCCCGGCGCTCACTCAGGATAATGCCCATCAATTATGCACCGTGGACTTTCAAAGAAGATGGCCGCCAACAGAATTTCCAGTCGAAACTCCGGCGCGGTCGGCCACCAAACTAGGTTTTGAGCCACGTCGTCTGAGCTGATCGATCTAGCTCAGCTTCTTCGTGACCTGGTTTAGCGTGCTGAAAGTCTCTGGTTTTATGTTTGTAAAAGTGATTTCTGAATGAGGCACTGTAATCGGTCATTTTCTGAAAAGCCCCCTGATCCCGGCCACATTACATTGGATGCGGCCCAAAAGGCGTGCTGACAATGCCCATGGCGCCTGTCCCGATATATACGAGCTGCGACGAATCGGGAACACGCGGACTATTCCTGGTGGTGGCGTAGGCGGGGGCTGGAAAACGAGCGTAATCCTTGCTATCTACGCGAACAACCAAGTTTACACTCTAAGCATATCGGTGGGAAACTGTGCTGCAGTTTCACACACGCTCTTTGTCTCATGCTATTACCGTGTTTTGGTTCATAAGGGCAGATAGGTATACAACGTGGCCAATGCCATACTGGGTGAAAAACTTGGGATTGTGCTAGTGATGGCTTCTGATAGCCTGATCTTGTGTTCCCCTGGGTTATTTTGACTTTCATCACGTTTCATTGCTGTTTTGTTCTGTTTTCCCTTTTTTAGCAAATGTGTACTATTCTTGTTATGCTGAGATTGCTGATTCACTAAAGGAACGGGAATCTCGGTTGTTGTGAATCAGTTGCAATGCTCACATTTATGCAAATGGACAACTACTGATCATAGTTTTGGGGACGAGAATAAAACTCAAAATTCAACAAAAATAAGCAAATGCCACTGTCTCTTGTTACCCAGCTCACACTTTCCCATCAACCATCCTTGTTTCCCGGCCCGATCACGGTATACTCACCGCCGGCAGGGCGAAGAACGATATTCCTAATAAGGCACACGCAGATGCGATGAGTTTGCCCTTCCACGTGATGGGCACAATATCACCATAGCCAACCGTACACAGTGTCACCTGAAACAAGACACAAAGACACAAATTGGTCGGCGTCTTTTGTAATGTTATTGCATAGCGTAAACCAAACTAAAGGGACACGAAAAGAGCATCTGTTGTTCGATACTTCGCTGGTTGGCGATGACAACAAGAAATTAGGGCATCTTAAATATTTGATAGGAACCTCTTGTGTGGCTTTTTAAATATGTAGGACCTTGGTTATACTGGGCTGACACCGTGTGTCGAACGTGCTATAGCTGTAAGTACCATTTTTTTTTAATTGACAAGCATTAATAACTCATTAGCATTATTTTTGTGTCACAACGGTGGTTGATCGATGCAAATATTATCACAAATGAAAATACTTAAAAAGTAGCCTGCCATAAACCTGCAAATGACTGTAAACGTCTTTGACATTTCCATGAAAAGTGCGTTTCTGATAGTGGTCGCATAAACGTCATTATCATTGACCAGTAACCGGAAATTGAGCAATTTGTCTATGATTGAAAGCTAAGTGTTCCATGCATATGTCAGTATATCCTATTTACCGATGTTATCATTGGTGATGGATGATGAAGCTGTTGCTGGGAATGTTTGAAAATGCGGAGATGCCATAAGCTAAAACAATCATCACCACTATAATATCGGTGAGATCAAAGACCAGCGTTTATATAGTGTCAGCCGTCAATGAAGAGACTCTGATCTACTTACCACTCCCCACCACAGCGCATCGGCGAATGACGAGAACTGCTGCCCGTTAGAGTCCTTCTCCGCCAGATAAACAAGAAATGATGCAATGATGAGACCTAAAAACCCGATGTACAATGTGGTGATGAGCTCCTGCAACAGAAACCGAGTTACGAAATCATTATAAACAATACACGTAATAGGTGCTCTCATGTTTTTTTTTTGCAGCTTATGTCCTAGCTACCCAATGGCATACAATAGATAAGTTGTAAATTACGAACTGACAATGGCTTCTTCTTTTACAATTTTAATTTTCCAATTATAGATTATTCTATGTACAAAACGCTAGCGCCTCCCTTCAGTCAAAAAAAAAAAAAAGACGCAATGTTGCGTCTTTCGCACCTGTCTGTGCGCGTAGACGACGGAGCCGAGCAGCTTCCATGTGCCGCCGCGCCGGTCCATGCGCACCATGCGCAATATCTGGAAGAAGCGCAGCACGCGCAGCGCCGACGCGGCAAACACCTGGCCGCCCGTGTTGAGGCCCAGCACGCCCAGGCCCAGCGCCAGCACCACCAGCGACGCCAGGATGGTTACAATGTCTGAAACAGCAAACACAGAGATCATTGATCTGAAGCAATGTGTTAGATTTAAAAAAAATGTGTTAGATTGTCAGCATGTTGGATACGTTGCAATGTCACGGGATAAAAAAAATGTCGGAAATACCACGAAAGAACGGTTTCAACTGATAACAATGCACCGGGACGTGGCTCAAATCGACTTACAGGCTTTAACAGCAGCTAAGTCAATAAACAATAACAAGACAAGGCAAAACTCTAGTTGTTAAGTACAACGGACGATCGTGTCCTTCGTCCCGGGCACTGGACGTGGACAGGCGTTACAGCGACGAACCATCGCTCCGTGCAGCAGCGCTGCGACGCCTGACACGATGTACTGAGGTGCAAGTACTGGGGTGCAAAAGAGTTCACCATATAGCTGCGTCCGAGTTTCAAACTGTTATTTCTAACGTTGGTGTATCATATTGGATTACAATTAATGGAAAAGCCTTTGAAAACATTGTTCCAAAGCTATCGATATTCAAATGCCTCACAATTTCAAGCAACGGTCGTAGTTGAAACCTTTACCACTTACGCTACATGTTCATAATCCACGCAAGTAGACCTAAAATACCAGCTTGAAGACCATGTTTCATAGCCATGCACCTTTTCAGCCTTACTGATACATGCTATTAATAACAGTAATGGCAGCATTCGCCAGTCGTTCCGTCGTTATTACGGGCATCCAGGGATATCCTAGGAGCGGGGCTGTCAGGTGCCCACTGCAGCAGACATGAGTGATGGTATTGCGCAGTTCAGGATCAGCGGCAAATAAATTTACGATGTGATAGAATGTAAAATGTGCACCGAAACATGCTAGAAGCACGATAAAAACAATAAATATACTTTATATCGTTGAGAGCTGCTGCGAGGAGCATGATAAATGTAGGAAGTATCATTAGAATATATGACCTTCTCCTCGGAAAATGACCAAATGAATGAAAATGATTATTTATTGATGAATTGATCAAATCATTTTCATTCATTTGGTCATTTTCCGAGGAGAAGGTCATATATTCTAATGATACTTCCTACATAAATATACTTTATTTCAACTGGTTAGTTTGCTCAAGGCTGAGCACTGAATTATAATTTCGTAATTCCTTTTAAGTACGTCCAAATCTCTTGCGTAATTTATGCTCCCTGGAACGCACGCCTTGTGAAGCGAGCGCCAAACTCCAATGAGTGATTGCAAAAGCTAATCCTCTCTGACAACACACCTATGCTTCCTAAGATATCACCGCTACCAACTGAGCTGTATCTAACCGCGGGACAGCAGCCGACGGCGTGGAATATCAATATCGCACCTCCCATCCCCATAGCGGGGATGGCGAGGCCCTCAGGATGAATGATGAGGGATCTCGAACGGAATCCCCCCGTGGCCACCCGGGGCTTGGAGGATTCATCGCAACACAAGCGCCATGAATCACCGGTTTATCGGAATTAAACATGGGAAACATCCAGGACAGCTAGTTTCCCAGTCGATATGTTGTGTAATCGTGTGAGAGTTAAAATATTCAAATCCTAGGGCAATGCAAAACATATGTGCAGCATATTATGCATGATGAGCACATTACCATAAAGAGCATGATATGTACCCCAGAAAGCTGGTACTAACTAAACCAATCCGTAGCAATATTTAGTGCAGCCTCCGGGCGTCGCGTCTGGGGTTGATTCGGAGTTTTGGTCGCCGGTCGACTGTGACGAGCGCCCGGCTACCAACATCGACTGACAGATCTAATCTGAGCTGGGATTGCGTGGCGCCGTCTCTGTGTGTCGCGACTGACAGTGACGTCCGGCGCCGACTGACGTTTCCATCAGCACGTCAGTCGGTGACGTGGTCAGATGATGCTGGTGATTGGCCGGCGTCTGCGTCCGGCTGTCCCTTGAGGAGGCCTCACCGAGTCTATTACTCCACCACTGTACTCCTTAGGGGGTTTCCTTTGGGTAGGATTGGTGACTCACTCACCTATGATGCAGAACGGACGCTGAATGAACTTGAGCCGCCCCCACCAGCCCTGGTACCGCGACCGGCACCCCGACGACCACAGCCTGGCGGAACGCAGAGCGGACATCGGGTCAGAAACAGGACACAGGGACACAGAAACAGGGACAAAAGGGAAAGTGAAAAGGGCGTTTGACCAAAAGGAGACGCTTGCCAACAGCCCCAAGAATAAAGGATGCATCTGATCGGGCAACGGAAGGATTACTCAACAGAAGACGGTACTTTTAGGATGGATGTTACAGTTGGTTATGAGCCATGTTTGGCCAGATGTGTTTGTTTTTTATATAAAAAATAACACCAGTTTGGATGGAAGAGACGCCATGCCACATTGAGTACATGGTGGAACACTTGGTTAAACACATTTACACGAAGAGATAGATGTTTGCACAGCATGACGATAAGAAAATATGAAACACGGGACCATTATGATAAAAAGTCAAGATGTGAAATAACTTCCAGTAATCGGGCATTAATGAATACAGAAAACTTCATTCGACAAATAATTATTTGCACTAAAAAGGAAAAATGAGGGTGGAATGTGGGGAGATTTAAATAATTCATAATCTGGCGAAAAAGATGTGCGTTTATCAATATTATAATAACTAATCGGCAGTGACAATGCCTGCAGTGTGGCCATTTGGGAGGGATGGGGCTCAGCCACATAAAAGCCGGATCATTGATATCTTTGATCAAACACACGGAGCGGGCTTGAGCAGAAACCGCTAATCCTTTAACCCTGCCAGTGGCAGATCAGGATCACCACCCTTTTCATCCTGTCTCACCAGTTTGCGGTTTATCCGGTGGTTACCAGCGCTACTAATGACCGGAACGCTGTCAAACGTTGCCGAAGTAGAACCACTACTCACCTAAACATACCAAAACCATGAAAGCCACTCGCTCAGCTTACTCAAACCAATATTGCCGGATTCTTATAACAGATCGGTCGTCGCAGCGCGAGCTAAGCGCATCCCGCTGTGAACTGGCCATGAGTCAAAACACGCTGAGCTCCTGCGGCGGCAGTCCCCACCGTTTGTGTCTGTTTCTGAGCTAACGTGTCCCAATTAGAGCACACGCTCCTCAGCCACGAGGCCCATGAGTGGCTGCACCTATCCGCTATCAAACCGATCACGTGACCCGGGGCGAGGCGAGCGGAGGGGCGTCGTCGGCTGTCGGGGCTCTGCCGACCGAAATTGACGGATTATGCGTCCGACTAATTTGGCCTGAGGTAGCAGCGCCGGTGACGTGACGGGCGTGCGGAATGAGCCGACTCAATTCTGTCACACTGCTGACCGACGGCGCAGGGCACCGCCTAATATCACGGGGATTGGAGCGGCCGTGCCGCGGAGGCGATGTCGATGTCAGCCGTGGCACCGCTCCAACTGCCTCCGCGGGGGCCAAACCGAGTGTTTGGTGGCTCCAGCTGTCTCCTGGGTCTCTCGGGACCGCGACTGAGTCTCGCATTGGGACCATTTTCTGTGATCACCGCATCAGTTCGGGACAGCGGCGATCTCGGTGCTGCCATATGGGACCGAGATGCAGCGCCGATCGGAGCCAATCCGAGACGTGGGTGGAGGAAACTGAGAGCCAATAGCATGAGAAATAGCCACACGAAATGGGCGTAAAAATGGTAACGGTCATGTTCAAGATAAAATCTAGAAATATAAAAATCATAATTGTCAGATGGCAATGTTTAGCAAATATCACAAATGCAATTTTAAGCTTATGGCTAAACCTAATGGATAGTAGGTAAAAGAAAAGTGTGTTGCTAACAGGCCGTTACGGCGTTACACCCATAAGTCAACGTTCTGTGCGGAAATGGACAGCAATAAAAGCCGTTTTAGAGCTACTATGAGCATGCACGGAGAAAATGGCCATGGTTGGAAGATGCATAACGGAGAATATTGCAGCATTTCTGTACTGTTGGATTTTAATATTTCAAAATGCTTTGGTTTGACATTTAACAGCCCTCGAAGTTAGAGATGTAATTTCTTAGAAGTGCGGAATAGCAAAGTCGAAAGCTAGGATCACGTGCTATCACGATTCTCATCAAATTTGTCACCAGCAGTATCTAATTTGACGAAGAACGACACTCACCTCATCATGACTCCATGACAAACTCCACTCAGATCAACACAAACTCAATGACGAGACACACTCACCTCACCACAAACTCCATGACGAGCCACACTCACCTCACCACAAACTCCATAACGAACCACACTCAAACTCCACTCACATCATCACAAACTCACACCGTTCCGTGCTTCTATCCTCAGGATACTGAAATCCTTCTCCTCCACTCCGCAACCCCCCTCCGGGCTGGACAGGCAACTTTATCTCATGCGGGCTGCTCCCTTGGAGCGGTACCGCTGCTCCTGAGGGAGCGTACCCGTAGCCGGGTGCAGTGAGTGCCTTGGGGCTGGGTGGCCTGTCCTCTGGACGGGCTCAGCCCCGGCGACTCACTAGGGTGCCTGCCCAGACCAATGTCTCCCCCTAATTCCTATCATCCTTCCGGCTCTGCAATGGTCTTGTCGACCGAAAGGGCCTAACCCAACAAAAAAAAAACACAAACTCAATCACAAGCTCCACTCAACTCATCATAATCTCAATGACGAACCACACTCACATCATCACAAACAACGAACCTCACTCACCTCATCACAAACTCCATTTGATAAACCACATGACCACCACCGATTCACAAACTCCATTCACATCATCACATGAAACTCAATGCTGAGCCACACTCACTTCATCACAAACTTCATGGACGAGTTACACTAACCTCATCACGAACTCCGTGGACGAATTACATTCACCTCATCACAAACCCCATCACAAACTCCACTCACCGCATCACAAACTCTATGACAAACCACACTCACCTCATCACAAACTTCAAAACAAACTCCACTCACCTTATCAAAAACTCTATGACGGAGGACACCTCAACACAAACTCCATGACGTTGACAACCCACACTCACCTCATCACTAATTCCGTGCCGAACCAACTAACCTTATCACAAACTTCAGGACAAACTCCACTCACCTCATCACAAACTCAATGACGAACCACACTCACCTTATCACAAACTCCATGATGAGCCACAATCACCTCGTAACCAACTCCATCACAAACTTCATCACAAATTCCACTCACCTCATCACAAACTCCGTGCAGAGCCACACTAACCTTGCATCACAAACTCCATGACGAGCCACTTTTTACCTCATCACACACTCAATTAGAAATCCACTCACCTCATCACAAACTCCATGACGAACCACACTCAAACTCCGCTCACATCATCACCAAACTCCACTCACCTCATCACAAACTCCATGACGAACCGCACTCAAACTCCGCTAACATCATCACAAACTCCACTCACCTCATCACAAACTCCATGACGAACCACACTCAAACTCCGCTCACATCATCACAAACTCCACTCACCTCATCACAAACTCCATGACGAACCACACGACCACCACCGATTCACAGTAGAGCAGCAGAGTGCCGGCGTCGTTCTCGTAGTCCTTGATTGTGGAGAGTACGCTGAGCGTCAGACACCCGAACACCATCAGGAACCTGAGGGCAGAACAGAGAGAGGAGCCATCAGACATCAGGAGAGAAGAAGGTGAGTTGCAGATAGGGGTTGACAATGCACCACATCGCTCAATTTGTCAAATGTGGCTGTGATTCTTTCAATTTTACAAATCAAAAAATCTAATAACACTAAAAACGCTGTCTGTCAATGCCTCACACCAACAAGCAGTCATTGTTTTAACAGAGCATATTAGGTACATATATCAGCAAAACTATTCGAAGATTAGAACATTCGATAGTTTTCTAACGCCGTTTGTGAACGTTGGTTCCCGGAAAAAGTGATTCGCCAACACCATTTACCCGATTACCAGCATCTGGGTCACTGTCTCATGCAGCCGGATTTAGGATCAGCTGTCTGCCCATAGAAATCTTGTCCCTCTGCTATCGGAGTTCATTTTGAGCTTGTTGGATACAGTTGGACGGCTGTCTGCTACAATCGGAGCCCATTTATCAGCCGATCGCGCAGCACAGAACTTAACCGGGGATGACCGGGAATCGGCGAGCCGCTGCGTTTAAAAACGCTGTGTGTCTGATTGAGAACGCTCGTTTTAAACCTCGTTCAGCCCGTCAATATGCCGCTGTGTAGGCCATGCAGGGGAAATTGATGGCTGGATGATGCGACGTTTCTGCCTTCATTCGGTACAACGTGAAGACTTAGTGAAAAGCTGCTTGCAACGAGTCAAGTTGAGACTTTGAAGTTTGACCGCAATTAACTAGCTGATTCAGACTGTTATGTTCTTTTTATGCAATTTGCTTATGTGCCTTCAAGATATGCTTTCAGGGTAGTGATTGATTACCATATAGATTGTACCTAAACAGGTTTTAGTGAGCAATGAATTTTGAAACTGTTTTTTAACATTGCAAATCCTCATGTTATCTACGTTTTTCTGGTAGCCACAAATCCATATGGTGAAAGGCGAACTCGCGACAATTTCACTTTTAAGTTTTAACCCCATTATTTCCCATCCTTTCCCAAATGTTGTTTATAACCGAAGGTTTGTTGTCAATAGTTCAAACACTTTTCTTTGGAATTGTGTTTTTCTATTGAAAAACAACTCTGAGTTCCCTGACAATTTGGCAAAAGCTGCCTGAGATCATTTAAGCGAGATGGAACAATCGTCCCCGCTTTGGCATATGTAATTGTGGTCCCTTGCTTGATAATATCATCGGCTGATCTCCTATTGTACATTTTTCTGTTTGGTGTGCAGATAAATGCACATATACACCTGTCATGAATGTATTTTAGTAACATGAACAAGCAACATCCACAAATATAGCCAATGTGCGTCCAATGTGCAATGCATATGCACTTATGGCTTTCTTATCAAAATTGGTCAACACTCAAATTCTTAGCGAGTAAATATTGCAGTTGGATCTTTTTTAAATAAATAGATACATTGTAGAGCCACATATACCAGTAAAACGCCTTTTGGGCGAAGAACGAGCGAGCGAGATAGTGAGCCCTGCACGTGCGGAAGGGCGAGAGGGTGCTTCCAACGGGCTTGCGCAAAGCACCCTTCTAACCGGTCGCTAGCGGTGTGCCAAATTTGAACGCAATCGGCCCAGCCGTTCCTGAGATCTGGAAGCGGCATTCTGCACGTGCGCACGTGCAAACGGGGTCCAAACTGACTTTTGCACGGCACCCTACTAACTGGTCCCCAACCGTGTACCAAATTTGAGCGCAATCGGCCCAGCCGTTCTCGAGATCTGGAAACGCCCCCTGCACGTGCGCACGTGCAGTAGCACCCTAACCGCAACACATGGGAATGCATTGCCTTGTGGGTGCCTACCTGTATGCCAAGTTTCAGCGAAATCGCCCCAGTAATTACCGAGTTACTGAAATGGGAACAAATTTGACACCTCTTATTGTTGTATTTTGCACGTGCACTGGGGGTGACCCACATCCATCGAGAGTATCCTGTTTTGGGTAGAAGGAATGCTGCTACCCTACAAAAATTACCGCAAGTCAATCGCCCAAGCGGCTGCTGAGATATGAGCCTCTCAAAATCACGTCTTTTGCAAAACAGCTTGAACACCCTTGACTTTTCACGTGGCACGTGCCACGACGGTCACTGAGATGTATCAAAAGTAGTCAATTACGGGGTAGAAGGGATGGGGCTACCCAACAAAAAAGACCGCAGGCCAATCGGTCCAGCGGTTGCTGAGATATAAGCCTCTCAAAAGCGTTACAGGCCGGGCCGGGCCGGGCCGGGCCGGGCCGGGCCGGGCCGGGCCGCTCATACTGAGATTTTTCCGTTATATTGAAAAGACTCACTTCGCTCGCTGCGCTCGCTCGCTCGTAATCACGAAAACCAGAATGGAAAGCTGGCTATTTATCTTTCTACTAAGACGAAGTGGTTTATTTCGAAAAATAATATTCAAGAAAATAAGTAAAATATATGAGTATATGCTGTTTCAAACACCAAATATAACAGAAAGGCTCTATCAGCCCTGCAAACAGAGCCAAAACTTATTATTCGAACGATAGCATTACAAGAAAGAAAGAATTTGGATGCTTATGATGGGAAGGTCTGTTGTTGTGAAAGGGTGAATGCAAATGCTGGCAACCCGTGCGGCAAAAAGCATAACAATACAGCTTGGCAGGAGGCATAAATCTACCAAGCACACTGATCAGAGTAAAAATGTACCTTAATGTACGCACCTATCAAATGTATGTATGTAGAAAGAAGTTCCCCACATAAACGCTAATTAACCTTGCATGTATTTGCGTCGCACATCCCTTCAGATCAGCCGCTTTCTCGGTGAATTCCTCTCAACTTCCAGGAATTTGACTGGCGAACGGGTACCATAGACTCAGGCTCTGAGACTCCCAGCTAAAGCATTACATTTCCGCTGATGACTTCTGTCAATTGGATGCAATTCTCCTAAGTGTTCACTAGGGGAATGTGATAGAGCTGGCGATTCGCAGAAGGCTTCATCAGATCTGATCCAGCAGTGGCCATTGCTCCATTACCCAGCTCTGGTTTCACGAATAGCTGCTCATTCGTTTTGCCGTTAATGCGATACTGATTTCCTATCTCCGTGTATAAACTATAAATGTAACTCTATTTGGGATTTTCTAATGACCGATTAGTGCGTTGCATCTGCCAAATTTATTGTTTAGTTAATAATCGTCACTGCTCTAGCTGGTTCAACAAAATGACGTAACACAGCATCTGAATGCAATGAACACATTGCATGCTGTGTATAGGCAATGTTACGTGCAAGGGTAAAACAAGGGCTGTGTCCTCTGAGCTGCGAGGTGTGTGCTGCGGCTGCTCACGTGAATACCGCGGTCTCTGTCTGCAGTCACGGAGGTATGTCGGCACTCATTACTGACGGGTTTCATCAAGAAAAGGGTCACGGACCCGCCCAGCAACGCCACAAAGGTGTGCGATCGGCTTGCACTCATAACAGCGCATCGCATTCACAAGTGAAACTTATTTGATATAATCTAGCTGAAGTGTGTTTCACGAGGTGAGTACACAACACGTCAGACAAACAGTGCACACTGCACGTGTGTGGCCCCACTTACGGCATAGTTAAGAGAGAACGCAAAGTACGCTTTGAGTCTTTCACGTGCGTTCTATGTATGTACGAAAGACGTAGCATGGTTTAGCTAACGATATTAACTATTAATAAACTCACCTACTAATTCATACATATGTCAAAGGCAAGATATTATTAGATAGGCTAAATGAACGGGTAGGCGCAAGTGCCCGCGGCTGAGTATTTGCAGCACAGCCAGGCCAGCCAACTCTGACAAACACGAGCACTATTTCTTTATGGCTTCACAAAGACAGGCCAGTTTAGCACAACTGGCCGAGCTATTGCTGGGCTTAGTAGGCGAAAGCCTTTAAGCGCCCGTGCTTATGAGAATGTCTCGGCTCCTCCAAAGTGCCGCTCCAGAGAAAGAATGATACTTTTGTCCCCGATGAGTCGCAAGCGAGCGCGTCGTAACATCGTACGGCGTGCGTGTGTGGAGGGTAGGCTGTACCGCATGACAAGGGTGTTCGGCGGGACAGCCTATATCGCAGGGAAATGCGCCCGGCAGACTGAGTATGGCGTGCCCAACAGCATACCTACCTATATCTATTAGTTGATTCAGTGAATTTGTGTACGAGCGGTGCACTGATGAATATTACAAGCATGTAAATGATGTCATTTTGTATTTGTGCTATATGTTTCACCATATCATTAAATAGCTCCGGACGACTTAAGATTGAAATCACTTTCATATACGCTTTAATAATACGGATATGACTTCAGACTCACTCCTATCTTGCACAACAGTTTCTCAATGAACCATCCAGTTAATCAACTGTTCCAATATTCCATTATTAGCATTTGGCAGCGTTTGAAGCTAAAATCACTTCACAAACACTCATTGTTCTATGCGCCTTGTCGTTCTGCCCAATATTCATCAATAACAGGGCTCCCTCCCTCCCTTCTCAGAGGGGCAGGATAGCCTGCTGACGTCAAAGACTACGAGGGTTACTATTGACTGGGTAATGAGGCAATCTGAGGCGCTAACAGCCCACTGCATACAGAGAAAAACAACGCGGCTGAAAATTGTCGGCAAGCGACACCTGGTTAGGCAGGGCAGGATCGGGCCAACCCACCACAATGTGCTTAGTCCTGGTCCCAGCCCCGGCACCGGCTCTGGCTTCTGTTGTGAGTTGGCGAGTCTTATCGCACACACTGCGCTCGTAAACCGCGAATGAATGGCTGCTCAAATATGCGCAGCGATACGTGCACGCGCACACGCATCTACAAACGATGTACACACGCAACAGGGAAATGCATTTAATAATAAAAGGCCGCTGTTGCTGGAGTTAAAAATACAAACACGCCTACACACACACACACAGGACACTTGCAGAAGATTAAGAGAGAGAAATATAAATATAGAGAGAAAGTGCATGTGCCCTTTTGGCACTATATCCAGGCAAAGCACACACACTGCACAGTTTCTGATCTTACATCCATTCATCTACCAGTCTCTCATTCAGCAGCTTTCTTGCCCATTACCGTGCTGACCACTAAGCATGTATTCACGATCACCCTCACGGCCCTGGCCGTTCCAATGAACACGTATTCAAAATCACACTAATGAGCCAGTGCTGACCTTTCGTGGCCCAGTCTGCACGAAACTGATGTCTGGCCACTGTTCTGGCCGGTATTCCTGGGTGCATTTCTGGGAGACCGTCCACTGTGCCGCCGCGCGGCCGCGCTTGACGTGCCTAATCTGATAATGAGATCACGGATAGCCGTCGACAGCCGGCCGGCAGCACCTAACTCAGCCTAACTCGCAGCTTACTCATCGCTAACTCGTGTCTAGTTTACTGCAAACTCGTAATGAACGCAGAGCTGATTGCTGATTGCTAGCAAACTGATAGCTATCGATTAGTTCAAAGAGCCGCGGAATTCACAGAAATCGGCGGCTCGGTAACATACTAATCAGCGAAACTTGCAATGGCTATAACGTCTCTGTTAGCTAAACGAAAGTAAGTGATGAAATCAGAACTTCTTTGGAATCTCCATGTAACTCAGTAACGAAACGAGCTTTGCCCTATGTCGCGAAAGGGCACGCTTTGATAGACATTAGGGACACAAAATATTCATTTTTCTGGAATGGGAAGATATAATGACGATAACAGCTGGTTCACATAAGGCTGTAGCGAAAAGAGGATTTCTAAAAAAAACTTGGATTTGTTAAATTCGATAGGAACTTGATGAAAGCAGTGAGCAAAATCCTTCTTCATATTCAAATTGATATCTTATCGCCATTCCATTGTTGCTTTCTTTTAAATGATGATGTGAATCTACTAAATCTACTCTACCATTATATAAAAATGAAAGAACCAACGCAAGAGAGGACCAGTTCAAAGAAGTCCACTTCGCAACGCTAACACAATGGCCCCACCGACGCACTTCGGGCTAATTGACAGCCTATGGCGCCACAATGGCGCTCGGCGAACGGCTAAAAGGAGCGCCGAGTGGCGCCTCGGCTGCGGCCCGGTCGAACGGGAGGAAGCCGAGCCGTGTTGAGGCTCACCCGCGGCTGAGCGATGGCCTCGGTGGCGACAGTAGGTCTGCACAGCGTGCGCGAGCAGTGAGCAGCCCGCTCGGGCCCCACTCAGCTTATTATACAAACACGAGGGACGGTCCGGGGGGGGGGGGGGGGAGACAATGTCACCGTGGCGGTATAGACCCGCATATTTCAGACGACGCCTGATGGCCTACCACGACATCTGGCGTGAGGTCACCGCTGCACGTGCAGGGTGTGAAATTTGACACTGCACGTCAGCGGACAGGGGCGCTGTTTACCAAATTACAGTGGGCGGCTGTTGCATGCTCTATCCGTTTTTGAGGTCACATTAGGGGAACAAGAATGCGAATTTCCTCTTAAGCTTATCTACTAAATTTAGTTGAGTGCATGGACAATGGTATACCTAAGCATTTTTCTTAAGAGAGGATCATCATCAGTAAACATCAGATGACTAGATTGATCGAAAAGGTGACCTTCACCTGCATTATTCGCTTAGCTTGATAATCGGATAAAGTAACAACAAATCCCATTCCGTAAAGTTTAGTAAGTCAACTCTTATGCCCCATTTTTGTAATAATGTACATAGAGTAATAAAACTGAACGCACCGACCAAATGCCTATGTACGCCTTCTCTCACTTATCTTTCTTCTTCTTCTTCTTCTTCTCTCTTTCTCTCTCTCTCTCTCTCTCTCTCTCTCTCTCTCTCTCTCTCTCTCTCTCTCTCTCTCTCTCTCTCTCTCTCTCCTCTCCTCTCCTCTCCTCTCCTCTCCTCTCCTCTCCTCTCCTCTCCTCTCCTCTCCTCTCCTCTCCTCTCCTCTCCTCTCCCCTCCCTCTCTCTTTTCCTCTCTCTGCCGGCGTCGCCGTGGGCGGCGGATCCCGATCGTTCCATTACCCGACCCGCCCGCCTGGTTCCGGCCGTACAGTCTCCGCAGCAGGGCAGCTACAAAGACAGAGTGAGCCCGCCCCAGCGTGTTTTGTCGGTTCACAGTTGGCTGCCGGCGCTACAACCGACATTTCTCTGTCCCCAAGGCGGCGGCGGCCCGCGGCGGACGCTGTGCTTTCCAACCGACCACACGATCCGGCCAGAGGAACAGAGAGGGTCTGTTACTCAGTGCTGGGCTGCTCCGGTATGCATTCATCAAGGCATGGGTGACGTTTTAAATGGTCTCGTAGGGCCCTAGCACTACCAATAATTTATATATTTGAAAATTAAACCTATGAGGTTGCATAGAAGGGGCGCGTTAGGTATCTTCAAATTTACCATTAGAGCCCCAACAATAGATTTCAGGAATTTCCGTCTGTGCATGAAGATTATCGTTTGAGGATGCTACAATGATACGCTAGCTAGTACAGTAAGCAAGGGGTCGATGCTCGAGCGAACCCCAACTCGAACAGCTTGGGCATCACCAAGCCTGAGCTCTACCTCCCAGCACTCCCAACAAATTACTCTATGCGTTGTGCCCGGTATGTATGTACTCACACGAGGACGTGGTACGCGGCGGCGGTGCGGCCGCGGGGCCTCTCCAGGAAGTTGTAGATCTTGCCCTGGATGCGCCGGTAGCGGTGGTCGCGGTGGCGGGCTGCCTTGAAGTGCAGCGGCTTGCCCAGCAGCGACATCCTGGGTGTTTGCAGCCGCTGGCAGCGGAAGCCGCTGGCGCCGTCCGCACTGCAATGGACAGGATGGTCGACAGGTCAGTGCTGTGCAGAGTTGCACCTCAACGGTAGTGTTGCATTCTGTAATCTGTATTTGCATTAGCCAACTACAGGCTTTCCAGTCTATTTCCAGTGGCAGTCGTGTTGACAACAGTGCAGACAATGAGCAATTGACAACACATGCTATAGTACATTAGTTAGGTATGTAGATGACGGAACGGAGGTGTCAGGACACTGTGATCTTCCTTTATTGTGTGATGGTCTATGTAATGTGTTTTTGTAGGTAGAGACTGTGAATCGCCGAAACTCGGCAATTCCCCTCCCTTCTCCAAATCCTTGCCCCCCAAACCATTGTGTTCGATAAAGCTGGCACTAGAAGACAAAGGCCAAAACCAGATCTGTAGCAGGAATAAATACATTTGGATAACAACAACCAGTACACAGATATGTCCATACGAGAGAAATTTGGTATGATCGGCCATTTTAGCTAGATCGAAAGATCGTGCATCTCACAGGAATATAGGGATGTTATCTAGAATCGCTGTTAAAGAAATCTCAACGTCATTCCTGTTTCAAAGCTGGCAGCAAGAATTGGCTCTTGATTTTTCTGAAACCCTCAGAGTTTGTTTATGAAAATTGGTGAGCATCATCACATCTAGCTAATGGACATTGCAGCATGCATAACCGTTTCCATTTCAAATTGGTATCTTCCTTTTAGGCAAGCGGAGCAGGCATCAGAAGAGGTTATACAAATATCCCTCCCATATGACGGGCCGTTGTATCAGAGGGAACCTCCACCACCGGCCCATCAGACGGCCGCCAAATCGCCCGGTGGCTATCAAAACAATGCGGCGGTTCACAGCTGAACGTGTCCCGCATCCAAATGTCGGGCTGGGCCGGCCGGCCGCTGTCAAAACAGGCTGCCGTTCGAGACAGGCCGCTCATCGCCACCAAATGTTTTTATCGGGCCGAGAGCTGCGGAATACTGAGCCGGATATATCAGCCTACATGGTCGCCAGTAAAACGTCACACTACCAAAGCCATGCCAACTGATCCTTTGCAATACATTTTTTTTTTAGTGGCTTTACTGGTCTCCGTGACATATCTAAGAAGAAATCATCAATATTCGCCATGACTGACATGCCACGGCCTGATGAATGAGCCGCTTTGTCTCCCAGCGTCGAAAACATGTCTTCAACACCTCGTGCGTACATTCTCTCTGGCCCCGTCACCGGTCCCATCGCGACAGCTCTTCTCGACCTGCTACAACCGGCGGCGCGGCGCCGGTCTGACGCCTCTGCCAAACGACAGACTGGGACCAGCGTGGGCGGTGGTGGGGTAGGGGGCCGGGGGGCGGTGACGACGAGGGTGGGGGAGGGTGGTGAGTCGCCTGCCCGGGCGTCACCCCCCGCCGACGGCTGGTGTCGCCGGTCGCTAATGCGCCATCCCCTGCTGGGCGCGCCTGTCCGCGGGTGGAGTCACCGGGAGCGGCTGGGATGACGACAGAGAGCCCTCCCTACCCTCCCCTTCTCCACGACAGAGCCCCTCTTCTCCACGACAAAGATCCCCTTCTCTTCCCATCCTCCAAAGGGAGAACGGCCTCAGATACCGGTCACCGCCACTGTTTCCAGCTGGGGCCGGAAACGGTCTGGTATGGATCCCCGACACCCTGGCCAGATGCGGGCGGATTCACGGAATCAGTCGCACGTGTTGGGCGCAGGGTCTTAGATTGTGGGCTATGTGGTGGATTCCAAGATAGGGCGGTGAAGTTTATCGAGTTTTACAACTCATTTTCACAGTTCGTTATCGGGATAACTTCGGGAAATGAACATTCGGTCGCAGCAAAGTTCAAAACTCGGCTAAACTTATGGCTTGTGTGGTATTTAAACACTTAAGTGTGAGGATCAATGTTCGACTGAATTTACCATTTAAGCGGTATTAACATGGCTGAATCTTCTGTGCAGCATTCACATGCACACTTGCACACAGAGCGACACTCATTAAAGCCCGGTACAGCTGATAATTGTCTCTCATTTATCAGCTGGCGACAAGACCTGTCTGTTTGCTTTCCATTAGTTTGTCGGCTGTGTCGACAGACATTCGGAAAAGGTCGCACTGATGAAGCGTCTCGGTATCGACAAACGATTGGACGGGCCGACACCCAGTGGTGCGATCTATTGAGCGGACGGTTCAGGCGACTCGTATACCTCACGAACGGCCGTTCAGGCGACTCCGTCAGTCTACCACTGACTTGATCGTGGCAGCGATATCGGCCGAAATGACTTTTTGGAAATGTAGCATTTGAAGTCAATGAATATTCCTTAATGGGGGCGAATAGTGTACAGAGAGACTCTGTACTACAAACAACGTTGCGCGTATGTGCTGAGGGGGTGGTAGAAGGTCGTGTCAGCATTCATCGAGTTTACTGGGTGCACATATTTACAAAAGCATGACCATCACAGCTACAAATATCAGCCGGTGACAATTTTCGCTTCATATAATCGGGCATGCATGATAGACTGGACCAAAATAGCAGCATGACCACATAAACCAGAAGCATAGCCCGGTTACATGCAGTGCATAAATGCAGTGGCCTTTCAAATGCCTTTATAGATTACCATTACCACACTGACTGTTGCTGCCCCTCATGCCTTCAAATGTAGGCACTATAGACGGCTAGCCAGTGCGACCGGCCGGCCACGAGTTCTGGTCGTCCCGGAAATTCCACCGAGAATGATTTAGCATGTGCCCTCCACAGCTCTCTGTTCAGATAGCAGCCAACTCCAGACAGCATTGTGATTAATTACCACTCCGCAATCGGAATGGACCATCAGTTATATTGTTAGAAATGTTCGGATCCACACGAGTGGCGCAGTTCTGTTAGTATCACGTTAACTTTAGTCTACATGAGTGCATAAAGCGGTCAGAGATATGACAGATGAGGTTAATACTCCATAGATGACAGGAACTGCCTATCGATCAAGTTAAACAGAGGGTTGCCAACTGAATGGGCCCAACTTCAGTGAAAGAGATAAATAGAACAAATCATTCCATGCCAATAATTTTCCTGCACTGTATCATGGATATACATAGGGTAAGAAAGCAGGGAAAGAGACATATGTAGTATGTACTATGTAGATCACCAAAGTTTTTTTTTTTTTCTCTCTCTCTCTCTCTCTCTCTCTCTCTCTCTCTCTCCCTCTCTCCCTCCGCGGGGTGACGTCGGGTGGTTGGTCGTTCCGCCACCCCTCCTCCCCTTCCCTCCCCCCACCCCATCGACTATAGCTTGTCCTCGGCTGTCTCCGATTTCCCCGGCCTGCGGGCCGCCGTCTGTGGGGATTGGGGTGGCAACAGGGCAGCGACGCGGTGGGAACCCATCGACACAAGCTGACACCCGGGCCGTCACAAATTCCAGACATCTGACACACACACATTCTAGACACTTGTCAGGCGTGCTAGACACATGTCTGACATTTCTGACATTTCAGACATATGTTAGACATTCCATGCAGGTGACACAGGACACACATTCCAAACGCGTGTTATTCATTCCAGCTCATTCACTCATCTCCGGCACATGAGACACAATCCAGACACATGTGATATGGATTTCAGACACATGTCAGGCATTCCAATATACGTTTTTGTTTTTAACTTGGAATGTTATGAAAAATTGACAAATTTTATAATCAGAATTAGAATAGCATAGAGACAAAATTGACAATAATTGACAAAGAAAACTTGCTAATGAATCTTTAATCGCAGGTAGGTATTTTCTTTCGAAAATATCAAAGATGGCTGAAATGTTGTGAATGGTTATTAGAAAAACGAATAATTGTGACGTTTTTCTGAGATGTCATGTGTTTGGAATGCTTGTCATTTAAGTCTGGAACGTTTACTGCAAAACTGGATTACAGATATTGAAACCATCATTGCAGGGTCATCTAATAGATCTGCTAAGCGCTAACTACAACATACCTACATATGTTCTGTCAAAGAAAACAGGCACCATGTTATCTTTGTTACTGTATGTGTATACAAGTAGGCACCAAAGCATTGCGATTGGGCTGCTAACGCTCGTATAATATTTCAGCTCTGCTGCCAATTAAATAGGTCACACAAAACGAGGTCTGCTCGTCAGGGGCGTGTGTTGAAAACGTCAGCCGCAAGTCCTCAGCTGGAAGTTAAGCCGTGGACCGTGGACTGGATCTGCTGTATAAATTAGTATAATTAGTCTTTACAGTGCCATAAGCGTCTCATTAGACCTGTTAGCACCCTGCACCGACTCGGGATAGTCGCCATCGATTGTATTCCCCCCCTCCCCCCGCGATTCTGGACGATGTTCCGTAACGGCCGAGCGGCGGTGCTCCGCCTTTCCGCAGCCTGCAGTGACCGAGTGGCTTTTTCCGAGCAGCACAACTCCGTTTAGCTTCATTGGGTGGGTGTGGATGAGAGAACACGAGGCTGCTCATCCGGTCGAAGTGGAGAAAATGCGTTGTTGACTGTTGAAATACATAAGCGTGGTGCTCGAAACGCCCACAGCTGAGGTAGCGGTGATGTAAAACATGTAAAAGTATTGGACTTGCATACCTGACCATCTGCCAGCGTTCGTTGTTTTTTCTAGCTGATAAAATTTTGGATAAAATCAACAGAGCTGGATAATAACTAGATGTTTTCCGATGAATTATCAAACGATCAACAATCAAAACAATTTTATTCATGATACCAGACGTATGTACTTGCGTGTGTTTGTGTTGGTGTGTGTTTTACAAACCAAACATAGCCATCCAATCCCATCGTGAATCCATCACTTCTGCATATAAATCGGCTTAAACACGCTGCTCGCTCGACCCAAATCATTTCACATTCAGACTGACAGCAGCAGCCTCTGCCTGACAACATCATTGAACATGCCGTTCGCTCTGCGTCACTTGTTACTACGCCCGCCGAGGCAGCCCGCAGGGGCGCGCTCTTGTTGGGCGCACTTCATGACAATACCGGCCGATTTCGGTC